AGTTCCTCCCTTTGCTCTCAATGTTGTCTCCATTGGGATAATAAATTATATAGTCACCCTAGTTCAGTAGCTTATAGATCAGAAAGCTTATCAATCCATGTAGTCCTACCTCCTGTACCCAAAATATTTATACAGGGAGGATGAGTAACACTAATTATAAACCCAATTCAGAAGCATGGGGAGTGACTCCAGTTCTTTTTTTTTTTTTTCTTTTCAGGATGAAGTCTTGATCTCCTAGGCTGGAGTACAGTGGTGCAATCTCAGCTCACTACAACCTCTGCCTTCTGGGTTCAAGCAATTCTCTTGCCTCAGCCTCCCAAGGAGCTGGGATTATAGACATGCACCACCATGCCTGGCTAAGTTTTGCATTTTAGTAAAGACGGGGTTTCACCATGTTGGCCAGCCTGGTCTTGAACTCCTGGCCTCAAGTGTTCCATCCATCTCAGACTTCCAAAGTGTTGGGATTACAGGCATGAGCCACCACACCTAGTCGTAACTTTAGTTCTTAACTTAGGGGACTTTCCAAATGCCGAAATATTTAAAAACTAAATGAAAATAAACAAAGATCTCAAATTGTGAAGGAAAGGAAGAGAAAGCAACCAGAAATCCCTTTGGTGCTTGAATATTTCCTTGCCTAGATATCTGTGAAATTCTCACATCAGTAAAACGGAAGACAGCAAGGGGGAATGAAGAGTAGGTAGGCACAAGTAAGCAGAATCCAAAAGCTAGAACAAATTCAGTAAAGGTAAGTAAAAGAGTTGTAAATTCTGAATCTAAATGTCATGGCAGGTTTTCTGTCCCGTTTCTGTACTTCCTTTGCATGTGAACAGGTAAGAATTTAAAAGCTGTGTCCTGACTACTCTAGCATCAGAGGCTAAGCAAGCTGTTCCCAAACTTTACTATGTGCTAGAGGTCACCTTGGAGCATTTGTTTAAAATGTAGATTCCTAAATTCCAGACTCTGAAGACCAATTCAGTGTTGTGTAGAACCTGCATTTTAACAAGTAATCCACATAATTTTGATGTAAGCGAGGCATGTTTGGCTTTGGGGGTCGGGGGAATGAGCTAAGCCTTCCAGGGGGTTCTTATAAATTAGGGTTTGCAACCTAAGAAGTGGGTTAAGGAAGTTTTTTCCTGACATTAGTGCAAAATACTACCAGGTAACAGTGTATCTTCAGTCATGTTGCTATTGAAACACAATTTATGCTAAAGCCATGGTGAACAGATGATACAGATGATAAACACATTTTTCTTTTTCTTTTTTTTGAGACTGTTGCTCTGTCACCCAGGCTGGAGTGTAGTGGCATGTGATCTCAGCTGACTGCAAACTCTGCCTCCCAGGCTGGAGTGTAGTGGCATGTGATCTCAGCTGACTGCAACCTCTGCCTCCCAGGTTCAAGCAATTCTCCTTCTGAGTAGCTGGGATTACAGGCACCCACCACCATGCTCAGCTAAATTTTTAGTAGAGATGGGGTTTCACCATGTTGGCCAGGCTTATCTCAGACTCCTGACCTCAGGTGATCCACTCACCTAGGCCTCCCAAAGTATGTTTTTTTCCTTTATAACCTAAACTTAACAGTGTTAAGACCTTGTCAAAATAGCTTATGCTACTTGAGTCTAAAAACAAAAGTAGAACAGCCTAGCTTGCTTGCAGAATTTTAGATTTCATTAATACCATGAGGTATAACTGGACATCATAAGAACTAGAGTACGGGTATCTTCTAGACTAGCTCCAAATGTTCATTTTGAATGAAGCGTTAATCCTGAAGTTCCTTCCTTCCTTGACTTTGCAATCTTGTGGCACAAGTGATCTCACTTGGATTCTCACCTTCGTATCTGACATTAACCAATAAAAGGTGTATCAAATTATTAATAACTTAGATCCAACATACAACTAAGAGAAAGGTGAAAGCAGAGTTTTTGGAATAAAAGGTATGTGTGTTTCTCTCTAATAGGAAATACACAGATCCCAGAGAAAATGGGCAATACACATTAACCAGAGCAGCTTTGACTTCAGAACTTGATCACTTAAGTGAGGTGTCAAAAATAACCATGCCCATCAATTGCAATTGAAGCCATCTTAAATATATATGAGTCATAGTTCTATTAAGGAGATTAAAATCAAAGACAAGAAAAATGCTGATTATGGTTGAAACTGGGAAATAGAGTAAATGGGAGTTCATTATATAAGCTTCTCAAATTTTGTCTAAAAAGGCCAGTGTTTTCTTTCAAGGAAATATGAATGCAAATTAATTATCAGTGTAAGGCAATAAAGTTCAGAGAGGGGTAGACAGAAGAATATTTCCTTCTTTATTTTTTCTTGAGATTAAGTCTCACTCTGTCACCCAGACTGGAGTGCAGTGGTGCAAACTCAGCTCACTGCAACCTCCACCTTCCAGGTTCAAGCCATTCTCCTGCCTCAACCTCCTGAGTAACTGGGATTACAGGCACCTGCCACCAGGCCTGGCTAATTCTTGTATTTTTAGTAGAGATGGAGTTTTGCCATGTTGGCCAGGCTGGTCTTGAACTCCTGACCTCAGGTGATCCACCTGCCTTGGCCTCCCAAAGTGCTGGGATTACAGGTATGAGCCACCATGCCCGGCCCAAGGAATATTTCATCAGAGATAGTATTTGACTGGGTAGGATTCTCAAAGGAATGGAGAAGGAAATGCCAACATCAAAATTATGCATTAAGGGAGCCAAGATTAATGCCTCTGGCCCTAAGATTGCAAGGTGATGTTGTTCCCAAGTATAAACCCACATCACTTTCCTCTGATGTGTTTTACTGCAACTCTTGCCTCCTTTCCTTTCACATTCTCCCCCTCCATACACAAAGACACTCACCACTAGGCTCAGGGTAGGTTGTTGGGCTCCATAGAGTCAAACTGGATTCCATATTAACAAAACTTAACAATTCAAGCTTTCCAGCAATGAACTCATCTGCTCTTCCATCTCTACTTTTTACCTGTCTGCTTATTTCCTCTCCCAAGGCGTTCAATGTCTTCTACGCAGAAACCAGTTCAAGGACTGGGCTTTCTTCTGCAATAAAATGCTAGAGTTGTGGCAAACATCTCCACCATGATAGCAGCCATGGAGTTGGATAAGAAGGGACATGATGTGGAAGTGGTAGATGTGTCCATAAGAGGGCACTCCTAATTTGTAGTTTAATGCTTAATAGGAAATTTTGCAATGGACAAACATGGGATTTTATGATTTATGTAGCTGATATCTAACATATGAACTGTTTTAAATACTGCCACATTTTGAACATAATTTATTTTTGCCCCTTTCTGATATTGGGTCATAACCTAAGAATGAGAGGACCTTCAAAGCAGGTGTGTGTGTGTGTGTGTGTGTGTGTGTGTGTGTGTATGCATACATGGGTGCATGTGTACTTGAGTGTGGAGACTTGTGTGTTCCTCCTACCCAACTTGTTGAATGATGAAGTTACAATGACTGGACTCAGGTGCAGCTAAACTGGGAAATGTAATTTTGAAGTACTGGAGACAGCTTTGTATACCATGTTAATAAATTTGAACTTTATCTTGAAAAACGTGGCTGTGCTTGAAGAATTTTAAGCAGGCAGGTGGCTTGGTCAGAGCACTGCTTCCCAAATTTCACTCAATGGTACTTGTATAACACATTCATGATTTTTGCCGTATCACTGTATCAAGTTACTTAACGTTTTTACACCAACTTTTATTTTATAAATGTACTCAGAGAAAATTCACTACTAGCATTGCTTGCCATAATCAAAATGAATTTATTAAAATGGAACAGTGCAAAATAAGGTGTACACATGGACATAGTGTGGAATGAGACATGGGAGACTCCGAAAGGTGAAGGGCGGGAGAGAGGTGAACGATGAGAAAGTACTTATGGGTACATGTATATTATTCGGGGGATGGGTACACTAAAAGCCCAGACTTCACCACTACTGCAATATATCCATATAACAAAACTGTACTTGTGCCCCTTAAATTTGTAGATTTTTTTAAAAGGAAAAAAAAAGTGTTCATTTATGTACCAATTTAAAATCATCTCATGTACCACTAGTGTTAAGTCTACCACACGTGGGGAAACTATGGTATGAATTGGGCTGGGGGTGTCCCCAGCAGGCACAGAAATTGGGTTACTGCCAGGTTCTTAATGCCCGGATCTTAAATCGTTAGAAAGCCCGAGTCTGGTGTGTAGGCCTGGAGTTGGAGCAATTCCGACACAAGGCAAAAAGCACGTAAATTTGCCTATGCCTTGTAACGTCTACACCACCAGCACTTCTGAAACTATTGTGCATCCGAAATCATCTCAGGATCTTGTAAAAACACCGATTCTGATCCAATAGGGACCTGGAGTTCATGCATTTCTAACCAACTCCCAAATGTTGTTAATGCTGATATTATCAGTTTCCCAACCACACAACGTAGCAAGGGATGAAACTGTAGGTCCCTAAACGGCAGGAACCACGCCTCCCGCATTAGCACAGTGTCGGCCCAAGGCACTTTCTGGGTTAACACACACTGAGCACCGCAGAGAACGCTGTCACGTGACTGCCTTTCTCCAACTGCCGGTTTCGGCTCACAGACACACCTACTATCCAAAACATTTCTATTTTCCTCACACAAAAACTACAGTTAAGTTTTTATGTTCTATGTAACCCCAGCTTAGGACGTAAATTCCACGAGAGTCGAGACCTTGTGACGATTCCCCCAGGTTGCGGACTCTTCTGGAGTGTGTCCCGGGCCTGCTCTGGGGAACACAATGGCGAATACGTTGAACGAGACCCCTGTCTCACGGAGCTAAAGATCCAGGAAGGACTTCACCTAGAAAGAAGCAACTAAGCTGGAATTCGATGCTCAGGACCTTTGCAGAGAGGCGGAGAGGCAAGAACCTCCTGAAGTCCCCAGAGTCCAGGGACGTGGAAGCCCAGGGCCCAAGACCCAAGGTGCAGGTGTCAGCCCGGAAGGCACCCGCGGAATCCTGGGAGAGGAGCGTCCCATTGGACAATCCCGAGCGGAAGAGCCCAAAGCTGAGGGGGCAGTTATGACTGGCTGCGGCAAATGTACTTAGAAAAAGGGTGCATACTGAATCTGCAGGCCAGGAAAAGAACCCAAAAAGCAGTGACGTACGTTATCTTCTGCGTATTTATTGGGAAATTGTGCGTCTCCCTATTCTAAGTCTTGGAGGAATTGGACTGGTCCAATCCGCCGCAGGGAGCAGTGGAGCGCGGCAGTATAGAGAGTACCCCCAATAAAGGGAGCGTGGGAAAAGCGTTCGCGGGGAACGCTGGGAAGCTCCCGGCCTCCGCCACCATCTTGCTTTTCTATAATCCGGCAGTGACCGTGGGTCAGAACAATCTTGAATCATGAAGCTACTAACCAGAGCCGGATCCTTCTCGGTGAGCTCAGGTGGCGGGTTTGGGAACAGGCTGGGGAGTAGTGTGCCAGCAAGGTGATACGAGGTGGAAGTGCCTAGTCTGGGGTACTGGACTTTGGTCTTCCGTCTGCCCTTCAGCTGAATCCTGCGGGCCTGCTGGGCTGCAGACCGGGTCAGGCTTTGGAGGCCCAGCTCGTGCTGTGAGCAAAAGAGACCTAACACCGGGAAACCTGAAGAGAGGGGCAGGACCTGAGAGCGGAGTTGAAGCGACTCCCTGGAGAGACTTCTGAAGGTCACTCCGGCACTCAAGTGCTGGAGAGACTGTGAAACCAGGGGAAGCGGGAGGACGGCGCAGACTTAGCCCCCCGCCGCTTCACTTTATCCCCTGCGGCCTCTGCTCCTTGGTTTATCACGGAGCATCAGTTTCCCCAGCTAGTAAAAGTATAAGAAAGGAGCTAATGCAGATGTAATACTCATCACAGTGTCTGGAACTTCATTGTTAATTATTGCGGTGTCTTAGTAATCTAACGTTGCTTTCCTTGATCGTATGCTAGACGGTTCCTCCAAGATGCCTCTGTTTGTCCTCAAAAGCTCCTTAAGTTTCCCCCTTCAAGCCTAAATTAAACATAGCTGTCACTTGGGGAAAACACACACATCAGGGTTATATCAATGTGGGACAGTGGTTATTAAGAGGGGTACGGGGAACAGTTAAAAAAAATTATAGCGAGGGACAGTATGCCCGCAGGGAAACGGTGGCGATGTCTGGAGAAATATTTGGTTGTAACAACTTGTAAGGTGATTGCTGTTGACATCAAGAGGCCGGGGAGGCTGCCAAACATCACCTTACAACAAAGAATTATCTAGCCCCAAGTGCCAGTAGCAATACCTGTGTTGAGAAACCCTCCTAGAGGGAGATGCAGAAGACCAGATCTGGGCATGGAATGTTCTTATGCTTTATGTTTACATAAATGTACTGTGGGTTATATAAATTTAGGCCGTAATTGTATTAACCTACCCGTTATACCTAGACAAACCAGTGATTAGCTGCCCTTTGAGGGCAGCACGATTAGATTGGCTAAAGACCCCAAAATTTCCTTCTCCACTCTGTTTTGCGATAGGAAAAGCTCAGAGAAAACCGTTGGAGAGGTCCAAAGTAAACAAATTGCAGTCAACTTGAAAGCAAGGCCGGGCGGAGTGGCTCAGGCCTGTAATCCCAGCACTTTGGGAGGCCGAGGTGGGTGGATCATTTGAGGTCAGGAGTTCGAGACCAGCATGGCCAACATAGTGAAACCCCCGTCTCTACCAAAAATTAGCCGGGCGTGGTGGTGTATGCCTGTAATCACAGCTACTAGGGAGACTGAGGCAGGAGAATTGCTTGAGCCGGGGAGGTGGAGGTTGCAGTGAGCTGAGATCGCACCACTGCACTCCAGCCTGAACAACAGAACGAGACTCCATCTCAAACAAACAAAAAAAACACTAACCAGGTGTCACTAACTGGGCACATTTGGTTGGAAAACACCTAAAATCTCAGTTGGTAACAGAACTATAGATTATTCATATTTGAATTGCTATGCCCATATATCTTAAAGTTTACTTTTTGGAAAATCAGCCCAAAATAACAAAGAGGGTTAACTATACCATACCCAGCAAACTAAATTGATGATGATAAAGCAAAGCTAATTGTAATTCATAACTGAAAAGCAGTACTAAAAGCAAATGATAACCAACAGCCAACCTAGTACAGCATTCATGCTAGATGTACAGCAAACCGCCCTCTAGACAGCACAGAGTGGAGGCATCGCAGCCTGTGCGGGGATGCCAGGGAAACTCCAGCAAGGTGTTCATTGGGTCTTGGGAGCACTAAGTTTTATTCACTCATAATCTCCTCTAGTAACCTCATGAACTTTAGTCATAATCAGAACAATTTTTATGGCACGGTATAACATTTGCCCAAACTGAATAAAATGAGTGTATTTTGAGTCCATTATCTAATATTTAAAGGGACCCTTTTACTGTACCAGTAAACTGCAATTTATATGTTGAGAATCTGCTGTGGATGAAGCCATCGTTAATCTCAGGATGACATACATGTCATAAATACTTTAGTCAAAAAAGGTGTGTGGTCTTAATACAGCACACAACAGTGAAAATACAGTGGAAAATATTGAGGGCTCGGAGGAAGTTGGTATATACTTTGTCTTTTTTAAAGGTTACTAAGATGATTAAGAAGATGAAACAATTTCAATTGGAAAATAGACTAAACAGGTGAGACTCATTGGGCAGATAAGGGAAGCAAGAAGCTGAAACCTATAAAAGGCTGTGGACGAAGGCCAGGCCCAGTGGCTCAGCTCACGCCTGGAATCCTAGCACTTTTGGAGGCCGAGGCGGGTGAATTGCTTGAGCTGAGGAGTGTGAGACCAGCCTGAGCAACATGGTGAAACCCCGTCTCTACTAAAATACAAAAAATTAGCCAGGCATGGCGGCATGCACCTCTAATACCAGCTACTCGGGAGACTGAGGCAGGAGAATCACTTCAACCCGGGAGGCAGATGTTGCAGTGAGCCGGGATCGCACCCCTGCTCAGCTCACTGCAACATCCACCTCCCGGCTCACTGCAAGAGTGAAACTCTGCCGCAAAAAGAAAAAAAAAAGTTTGTGGATGTGGCAATCTGACACTTTTTCAAAAAATGCCAAAGCATTAGACGCTACGAAAAACCATGAAACTTTAATAAGGTAACTGAAAGTTAAAAGAAAATACAGTGATTCTCTGCATCATAAAAATTAGCATCAAGAACTCTATAAATCATGAATAAATAGAGGTTTAAGAATGGCTTGGGGAAACTGGTGAATTAATAAGTTATGCAGCTAGGCTGGGTGCAGTGGTTCACACCTATAATCCCAACACTTTGGGAGGCTGAGGCGGCGGATCACTTGAGGTCAGGAGTTACCAGCTTGGCCAACATAGTGAAACCCTGTCTCTACTAAGAAATACGAAGAAAAATTAGCTGGACATGTTGACACTCACCTGTAGTCCCAGCTTCTCAGGAGGCGGAAGCAGGAGAATGTCTTGAACCCAGGAAGCGGAGGTTGCAGTGATGCTCTGTCATTATAAAAAAAAAAAAAAAAAAAAGTTATGCAGCTGAATCCTCCCACGGAGGTGGTTATTGCTCCTTTAATGCTGAAACACCCTCTGTCACTTGGGTACACTAAGGTACCATGCTTTTATATAGAGTACTGTTCTTGTGAGAAATGTGTGTAACCTGTGTTTTTTTGTGTTTAGAGATTTTATTCTCTCAAAGTTGCCCCCAAAGTTAAAGCCACAGCTGCGCCTGCAGGAGCACCGCCACAACCTCAGGACCTCGAGGTTAGTCCCACTGACCTGCTCGCTGGAACCCCTACATGCCTTACTCTCCGTGGTAATATGAAGACATTCGTTATATCTCTACTTTATTTTAAATACAGTTTACCAAGTTACCAAATGGTTTGGTGATTGCTTCTTTGGAAAACTATGCTCCTGTATCAAGAATTGGTTTGTTCATTAAAGCAGGCAGTAGATATGAGGACTCCAACAATTTAGGAACCACTCATTTGCTGCGTCTTGCATCCGGTCTGGTGAGTATCTTCACTACCTCAAGTGTTTGGAAATGCTGTGGTATCTTGGTCCTATGAAAAAGGAAAACTAAAATTAGTGTCTTTATTTTTGCTTCCTTGACCTGCCGTTGCAAATTACCATGGACCGGGTGGCTTAAACCAAATGAATTTATCCTCTCACAGTTCTAGAGGCTAGAAGTCAAAGTCAAGGTATCTCAGTCAAGCCAAGATATCAGTAGGGCTGTGATCCCTCTAAAAATTCGAGAAAGGCAGAAGTCCTCCCCTGCCTTTTCCTAGCTTCTGGCAGTTGCCCACAGCCCTGCAGCTACAGCACTGCAGTCTTTGCCTTTGTTGTCATGTAGCCTTCTATCTGTGTCTGCGTTCCTCCTAATAAGGATAGCAGTCATAGGAGATTTAGTGCCCACCATAATCCAATATGATGTCATCTCAAATACTTAAATCTGCAGAGACCTTATTACCAAATAAAGTCACATTCACACATTCTGGCTGGACATAAATCTGGGGGGAACACTGTTTAACCCAGTACAGTCCCCTAATGTAAAATGAGAAATCACAAGATATTTGCCACAGAGAAGTACTAAATTAGTATCCATATGAATGTTGGTTTTAGAGCATAAGAAATCAGTAAACAGATTTTTAAAACAAAGTGTCATAAATTGAAAGACAGTTAACTCTTTTTCCCATATGCAGGTCTCTTTCAAAATAGACGACAATGAATCCAGTAAGCATGTATTTGACACAGGAAATTTTACATAAATGTACTTAATATAAAAGTCTATACTTAAGCTTTTTGTTGAGCCTTGTTTTATTTCTCAAAAGGATGCAAGAATTTAGAAAAATTTTTTTTAAGTCTGCTCATAACAGATAACATGATCAAGTATGATGTTTGGCAAACTTGGCATTGAAAAACTACAAAGATAATCATTATTTTCTTTTTCAAGACGACAAAAGGAGCTTCATCTTTCAAGATAACCCGTGGAATTGAAGCAGTTGGTGGCTTATTAAGGTTTGTTAAATAAGTAATAGAAAATAGTGAAAATGCCAGAATATACTCCGTTGTAAGGGAACTTTTCTCTGTTATCAAGGGGTTGAGGATTTCTTAAGCAACACATGAAAGAAAAGACAGATGAATTTGACTACATCAAAATGTAAAACATCTTTATGTCTTAAAAATTTAAGTAACTGCCTGGGGGTAGACATCTGCAGTATACAGGCATACCTCAGAGACGTTGCAGGTTCTGTTCCAGACCACCACAATAAAGGGAATATCGCAGGAAAGCAGGTCCTTTTGTGGTTTCCCAGCACTTTTAAAAGTTATGTTTACACTGTACGGTAACTTTTAAAAGTTATGTTTACACTGTACGGTAGTCTACTAAGTGTACAGTTAGCATTTTGTCTTGAAAAAAATGTATATAGACTTAATTTTAAGATATTTTATTACTTTAAAAATGTTAACAATTAACTGAATCTTCAGCAAGTCATAATCTTTTTGCTGGTGGAGGGTCTTCCCCCCATGTTGATGACTGCTGACTGATCAAGGTGATGGTTGCTGAAGATGGGGGGGACTGACAGTTTCTTAAATCAGTTAACAGTGAAGTTAGCTGCATTGATTGACTCTTCCTTTTATGGAGATTTCTCTGTAGCATAAGATGCTGTTTTAGCCTTTTACCCACAGAACTTTCAAAATTAGAGTCAGTAGTCTCAAACCCTACCACTTTTTTATCAACCAAGATTATTTAATATTCTTTGTTGTCATTTCAACAGTGTTCACAGCATTTTCAACTAGGAGTTGATTGTGTCTCAGTAAACCACTTTATTGACTCATCCATAAGAAGCAACTCCTCAGGCTGGGTGCAGTGGCTCACGCCTGTAATCCCAGCACTTTGGGAGGCCGAGGCGGGTGGATCACGAGGTCAAGAGACCGAGACCATCCTGGTCAACAAGGTGAAACCCCGTCTCTACTAAAAATACAAAAATTAGCTGGGCATGGTGGTGTGTGCCTGTAGTCCCAGCTACTCGGGAGGCTGAGGCAGGAGAATTGCTTGAACCCAGGAGGTGGAGGTTGCAGTGAGCTGAGATCGTGCCGTTGCTCTCCAGTCTGGGTAACAACAGCAAGACTCCATCTCCCCAAAAAAAAAAAAAAAAGGAAGCAACTCCTCTGTTCCAAGTTTTATCATAAGATTGCAGCCCTTCAGTCACATCTTCTGGCTGCACTTCTAGTTCTCTTGTGATTCCCACCATATTTGTGGTTTCTTCCTCCTCTGAAGTCTTGCCTCTCATACTGGTCCATGAGGGTTGGAATTAGCTTCTTCCAAACTCCTATTAATAAACGTTGATACTTTGACATCCTCCCATGAGTCACAAATGTTCTTAATAGCATCTAGAATGGTGAATCCTTTCCAGAAAATTTTTAGTTTACTTTGCCAGGATCCATCAGTGTTTTCACTATCTGTGGTAGCTGTAGCCTTACAGAATGTATTTATTGAATAATGAGACTTTAAAGTAAAAATTACTTCTTGATCCATAGGCTGCAGAATGGATGTTGTGTTAGCAGGCATGAAAACAATATTAATTTCCATGTACATCTGCCTCAGAGCTCTTGGGTGATTAAATGCACTGTCAGTGAGCAGTAATATTTTAAAAGGAATCTCTTTTCTGAGCAATGGGCTTAAAATATTCAGCGTCCATGCTATAAACAAATGTACTATCATCCAGACTTTTTTTGTCCCATTTACAGTGCACAAGCAGAGTAGTAGATTTAGCATAATTCTTAAGGGCTCTCAGATTTTGAGAATGGTAGATGATGTCAGCCTGAAGTCATTAGACCCTAACGAGAGTCAGCCTGTCCTTTGAAGCTTCGAAACCAGGCATTGACTTCTCTAGCTGTCCTGGACAGCGTCCTCTTCCAATGTACATCTGTTTTGTCAACATTGAAAATCTGTGGTTTAGTGTAGCCATCTTCATCAATGATCTTACCTAGATCTTCTGATAACTTGTTGCAGCTTCTAAATCAGCATTTGCTGGTTCATTTTGCACTTTTATGTTAAAAAGATGACTTCTTTCATTAAACCTCATGAACTAACCTCTGCTAGCTTCAGACTTTTCTTCTGTACCTCACCTCTCTCTCAGCGTTCATATAATTGAAGAGAATTAGGGCATTGCTCTGGACTAGGCTTTGACCTAAGGGGATGCAGTTTGATCTGTCCAGACCACTAAAACTCTTATCAGCAATAAGGCTGTTTGACTTTTAATGTCATTCATGTGTTTAGTGGAGTAGCACTTTTAGATTTCTTCAAGAACTGGGCTAGTGCAGAAGGCCTAGCTTTTGACGTGTCTCACTTTTTAACACACCTTCCTCACTTCCTCAGAAGCTTAATCATTTCTAGCTTCTACTTTAAAGTGAGACATGAGACTCTTCCTTTCACTTGTATACTTAGAGGCCATTGTAGGGTTATTAATTGGCCTAATTTCAATACTGTTGTGTCTCAGGAGTAGGAAGGCCCAAAGAGAGAGAGAGAGAGAGACTTGGGGAACAGCTGGTCAGTGGAATAGTCAGGACAGAAACAGCATTTCCTTTTATTTATTTGAGACAGGGTCTTGCTGTGTTGCCCAGGCTAGAGTGCAATGGTGCAGGCATAACTTATTGCAGCCTCAAACCCCTGGGCCCAAGCAATCCTTCTCCCTTGACCTCCTAAGTAGCTAGGACTGCAGGCACAGGCCACCATGCCCAGCTGATTTTTATTTTTTGTACAGATGAGGATCTCACTGTGTTGCCCAGACTGGTCTTGAATTCCTGGGCTCAGGTGATCCTCTCACCTCAGCCCAAAGTGCTGGAATTACAGATGTGAGCTACCACATCCAGCCCAGATTTTTTATATATTGTGTTGTCAGTGGTAAAGATGATAAAGAATCTCTTATTCTGCCAATAGGAGTATAAATTGATACAACCACTTAGAAAAGAATCAAGGAATATCTAGTAATATTGAAAAACCCCACAGTTTTTAATCACATGTGCAAAGGTATTCTTTATAAAGACCAGACACTATCTAAGTGTCTATCTTTAGGAAAATGGGCAAAGTGTGACAGAGTCATGATGGGACCACTACACAGCCGTTATGGAATGAACTAGATCTATACATCAGCGTAGCACAACTGAAGGGCAGAGCAGTGTGTAAACAAGCAAGATTCAAGATTTCTTTAAGGTGTTGTGATTTTTAAAGCAGAACAGTACCATGTAGTGCTTAGGACCATGGTTTCCAGAGTGGGAGAGAGTAGGGCATTGGCCTTGGAAGGGTATGAAAAGATCTTCAACTTTATTTGGCATTTTAAAAAATTGTGGTCAAATATATATAACATAAAATTTATAATTTTCTTTCTTTTTTTTTTTTAAGACAGTCTCACTGTGTTACCCAGGCTGGGGTGCAGTGGCATGATCTTGGCTCACTGTAACCTCTGCTTCCTGGGTTCAAGCGATTCTCCTGCCTCAGCCTCCCAAGTAGGTGGGACTACAGGCTTGAACTACCACGCCTGGCTAGTTTTTGTGTTTTTAGTAGAGATGGGGTTTCACCCTGTTGGCTAGGCTGCTTTCGAGCACCTGACCTCAAGTGATTCGCCCTCCTCAGCCTCTGAAACTGCTAGGTTTACAGGCATAAGCCACCGTGCCCGGCCCAAAGTTAACATTTTCTAAGTGTGCAGTTAAGTGGCATTTAGCAACCTTCATCAACATTTATTTATCTCTAAAACATTCCTGTCTTCTCTCACCTGAAACTCTATACCTGTTAAACAATAGCTCCTCATTCTCCCCCTTCCCTCAGCCTCTGGCAACTGCCATTCTCTTTTCTTTTTTTTTGAGACAGAGTTTTGCTCTTGTTACCCAGGCTGGAGTGCAATGGCGCAATCTCGGCTCACCGCAACCTCCACCTCCTGGGTTCAGGCAATTCTCCTGCCTCAGCCTCCTGAGTAGCCGGGATTACAGGCACGCACCACCGTGCCCAGCTAAGTTTTTGTATTTTTAGTAGAGACGGGGTTTCACCATGTTGACGAGGATGGTCTAGACCTCTTGACCTCATGATCCACCCACCTTGGCCTCCCAAAGTGCTGGGATTACAGGTGTGAGCCACCGTGCCCGGCCTCTTTTCTATTTCTATAAATTTGACTACTCCAGGTACCTCATAAGTAGAATCATACAGTATTTGTCCCTTTGTGACTGGCTTATTGTATTTAGAATAATGTCTTCAGGGTTCATCTAATGTTGTAACTTGTGACTGGATTTCACTCCTTTTAAGGTTGAATTATTTGCTGTTAAAAAAATTTTTAATTTTAGTTGATGAATCTCTGGGGCTTTGTTATATTATTGTTCACACCTTTTATAATTCAGAAATTTTCTTTCCAAAGGAATTGGTTGATATAACAGAAGATTATAAGGGAAAGCTCACTATTGTGATTCAGATTATTTATTGTAGTTTATATTTTTCAATTCAGTGTGACTGCAACAAGGGAAAACATGGCTTACACTGTGGAATGCCTGCGGGGCGATGTGTAAGTACCTGTGTGTGTTTAGGACTTCTGCTTTAAAAGAAATACTAAGCTGCTCACTTCTGGTCTTTATAATGCATCATTGTGACCTCTGGCTTCTGTTTTGGATTATTATTCATAAACTGCTCATAAACCCTGTGCTTACTACAAGGCCTAAATTTCATTTTGAGAGCATTACAGCTATATAGAATCTCAAATGTTGGTTTTACATTTTTGACTCGTAATTCTTGTCTCAACGTCTTCTGTAGTGATATTCTAATGGAGTTCCTGCTCAATGTCACCACATCACCAGAATTTCGTCACTGGGAAGTAGGTGAGATTCAGCCTCAGCTAAAGATTGACAAGGCTGTGGCCTTTCAGAATCCACAGACTCGTAAGTACATTTCCAGATCACATTCAGTTGTTTCTAAGATACTAGCTTTTTTGGAGTATCAATTTGTAGAAGAAAAAAATGCTCTCAACATTTTTATTTATTTATTTTTTGAGACAGAGTCTCATTCTGTCACCCAGGCTGGAGTGCGGTGGCACAATCTTGGCTCACTGCAACCTCCGCCTCCTGGGTTCAAGCAGTTCTCCTGCCTCGGCCTCCTGAGCAGCTGGAATTATAGGCATGCACCACCACACCTGGCTAATTTTTTGTAGTTTTAGTAGAAACAGGGTTTTGCCATGTTAGCCAGGCTGGTCTCGAACTCCTGGCCTCAAGTGATCCGCCCACCTCAGCCTTCCAAAGTGCTGCAGTTACAGGTGTGAGCCATAATGCCTGGCCAAATTTTTTACTACTCAAATTTGAAAATATCTTTTTCAAAAATATGTTATTTAGATACATTATTCTTTTGTTTCTAAACAAATCATTTTTCATGTATAATGGTAAGTAAATTGTTTGTAGGATCCTAGAAGTTTTTCCTGTTTTCTTCTGAATGTTTTGTTTTTGTTTGTTTGTTTTTGAGACAGGGTCTTGCTTATTGCCCAGACTGGAGTGCAGTGGCACGATCTCACTGCACCGCAACCTTCTGGACTTAGGTGATCCACCCACCTCAGTCTCCTAAGTAGCTGGGACTACAGGCACATGTCGCCACACCATGCTAATTTTTATTTTTATTTTTTTATAGAGATAGGGTCTCACTATATTGCCTAGGCTGGTCTCAACCTCCTGGACTGAAGTGATCCTCCCACCTCAGCTTCCTCAAGTGCTGGGATTGCAGGCATAAGCCCCCATGCCTGGCCCCCAGTGATTTTTAAGAATTGTTTTTGCTTCCATCAAATCCTGCAGCAGTTTATTGCTGTTGCTGCTGCTATTATTACTTACTGTTGTGTTGCTGTTATTGTTTAGCCATCTCCTATTGAGTCTTTCCAAAGTAAGTGACTTAATTTTTTTAAATAGGAATCTTTTTTTGCATTCATATTTTATGTTTATATAAGTTTTATTGTATAATCTTGACGAGTACAACTGGCAAAACAAGTCTATAAACAACTGCTGTTGACTCTTTGGAGTCATACAACTTCTAGTGGAAACAGAAATATGCAGCAAGTGCAGAAATAGGTCAGCTCAGGGCCTCAGCATGGGACAGGCTCCCCTCCGCATGCAGGCCTGATGTTACTTCATGATAATGCTTGGTGTCACAGAAACAGCATATATGTATATGGCCTTGCATGATGTTACCCCAGCCCACTTGTCTTACTTTGTGCTCTACCCTCTTCCCCCAGCTGCAATTCCCATTTGAATCTAATTACTATTATACTTTATGACTTTGCTTTGTCTGCTTCCTGTACCTAAAATGCTGTTCCCAAATGATTTCCTCTGGGAAACACCTACTCATTCTGTAAGATGGATCTGCCCTTCCCTTATGCCTCTACTGGACTTTTGACCCACTGCTGACATTGCACCCATAATACTTTATTTCAGATTTTCATCTTAAAATTTGAGGGCAGGCATTGTATGTACCACATCTCTGTATTTCTAGCACCTAGCACAGTGCCTCGAATAGGGAGGTTGTCAGATAATGAGCAACTAAAGGAACACTGCAGGCAAAAAGGCATTGAAGCAGGGAAAGCACCAAGCACGAGGGAGGAGTAAGTCCTGGTGGAAGCTCGCATTGGTCCCCCGAAAACTGCCAGGCAACCTCCTAATTACCTAGAAAGGAAACCTAGGAGTAAGTAAGATCCAGACTAAATGACTTGTCCAATGTCACATGGGAAGATGGCAGCAGAACCATAACTAGGTGGGACTTCCCGAAACCTAGGCCAGTATACCTTCCAGGGGTTACCAGCTAGGTTAAAATTGGAAAAGTGGTTTAGGTGGACTCCAGTATACAGAAGCTGCTGCTATGTAATCCCTTTTTTTTTCTCAGCACATTCTACTGGCAGAAACTGGCAGTTACTAGAGGTTAAATAATAATAAATTTCAAGTCCTCTTAATGCCAGAAGATGACCAAATTTGTATAGGCTTGATGCTTTCTAGGTTTTAAAAATGTTGTTTTCTTTATTGAAAGTGCATTTCCCTAAATGTTTCTTTACTTATCTCACAGATGTCATTGAAAATTTGCATGCAGCAGCTTACCGGAATGCCTTGGCTAATCCCTTGTATTGTCCTGACTATAGGATTGGAAAAGTGACACCAGAGGAGGTACCCAGTCTCTTTTTATTCCTTTTTCAAATAACAGCTTTATTGAGATGTAATTCACCATGCTAAACAACCTATTTAAAGTGCACACAATTCAGTGGTTCTCATTATATTCAGAGTTGTGCAACCATGACCACAATTAGGTGCTAGTTCTTTAAAGCAATAGTTTTTATAATAAAATCCCAGGGTAATTCAGCTCAGTTAGTACCATGTAGTTCATTACAGCAGCTTTTAAGGCTAAGTATTTATTTTCTTCCAAACTGCACTTTTACATTTTTACAGCTTTTTATATTTATGCCAATATAACATAATAAGTGTTTTTAACTTCCTCAGTTACATTACTTCGTTCAGAACCATTTCACAAGTGCAAGAATGGCTTTGATTGGACTTGGTAAGTTAAGTATTGTCTGTTGGCTTCCTTAAGAGCAATTCCTCAAACTGTCATTACGTGATCATAGGATTGAACAGAATTTGCAAACTTCAGCCTTCTATTTATGCCAGACAGGCAATATATGATAAGATTTTAGTTGCTAGTCATTTGTTTTTGAAAGCAGAATCCAGCATTTAAATTTGTAAACCACTGGCTGTAAATTCTTTATGATACTTGCAAAACCTGTAACAAAGGTGAATTTCTCAAAGTAAAGAGCATTTACTATTTTTTAAAAGGAAATGTAGCTTACTAGAAAAACAGGCAGAGGGCATAGACAGTTCATGGGAGAAATATGTATGTATTTGTGTAGCTAACTATCTGTTTTAAATGATCAGCCTCACTAATGATTAAGAAAATTTTAATCTATGATAATGGCAAAATTAAAAGATTGACACTGCCCAGAATTGACCAGGGTATGGAGAAATAGGCATTCTTACAAATTGTTAGTGGGAATATAAACTAGTACAACATTTGGGGAGATTTATTTGAATATTTCTGTTAAAATTCTAGGCTGGGCCCAGTGGCTCATGCCTATAATCCTAGCACTTTGGGAGGCCGAGGTGGGCAGATCACCTGAGTTCAGGATTCAAGACCGGCCTGGCCAATATGGTGAAACCCCATCTCTACTAAAAATAAAAAATTAGCCAGGCATGATGACGCATGCCTGTAATCCCAACTACTTGGGAGGCTGAGTAGGAGAATCGCTTGAACCCAAGAGACAGTGATTGCAGTGAGCCGAGATTGTGCCACTGCACTCCAGCCTGGGCAGCAGAGCGAGACTGTCTCAAAAAAAGAAAATTCTAAATGTTTATGCTCATAGACGTAGTGACTTTTAAGAATTTGTCCTACAGAAACATTAGGTAAAGTTTACAAAATAGTTGCATGAGAATATCATTTGTAATGTTTTTTGTTTTGTTTTGCAAATAACAGCTTATGGTGTAATTCACATGCCATAAAATTCACACTTTTGAAGTGTATAGTTCTGTGGCTTTTAATAGATCCAACTATTACCACTACCTAATTTCAGCTTGTTCATCATCCCCCAAAAGGCCCCATACCCATTAGCAGTCACTCCCCATTCTCATATTCCCCCTGCTTGTGTGGCATCCACTAATCTTTCTTTTTTCCTTTTTTTTTTAAGAGATGGAGATCTCATTCTGTTGCCCAAGAGCTGGAGCATAGTGGCACAATCATAGCTCACTGCCTTGAACTCCTAGGCTCAAGTGATCCTTCCACCTCAGCCTCCTAAATAGCAATAATCAACTTTTGACTATTCTGGACATTTCATATAAATGGAGTCATATGATATGTGGCCTTTTGTAACTGACTTTTCTTACTTTGCATAACATTTTCAAGGTCCATATTGTAGCATGTGTCAATGTCTTATTTCCTTTTATGGCTCAAGAATACTCTGTTACCACATTTTGTATATTGATTGATTGACATTTGGGTTGTTTCAAAAGGTGGACCTTTTGACTCTTGTAAATATAAACATTCATATGTACAGTTTTCTTAAGACACCTATTTTTAGTTCTTTTGGTAATGCTTAAGAATAGAATTGCCAGGACATATGGTAACTCCGTTTAACCATTTGAGGAACTACCAGACTGTTTTCTAAAGTAGCTGCACCATTTTACATTCCCACAAGCAATGCACAAAGGTTTTAATTTCTCCACATTCTTACCAACACTTATTGTCTGTCTTTCTGAATATGACCATCCTACTGGGTGGGAAGTGGTCATTGTGGTTTTGATTTGTATTTCCCTAATGACAAATGACATTGAATGTATTTTCATGTGCTTTTTGGCCATTTGTATAACTTCTTTGTTTTTTGAAACAGTCTTGCTTTGTCATCCAGGGTGGAGTGCAGTGGCTTAAACCCGGGAGGTGGATATTGTGATGAGCCATGATTGCACCACTGCACTCCAGCCTGGATGACAGAGCAAGACTCTGTCTCAAAAAAAAAAAAAAAAAAAAAAGATAGAAACAATATCAATAGAATGAAACATTTTAGAAATAAAGGAATTGAGGATAATAACTGCACAGAAAAAAATTCTAGATGAATAGTAGTACTAAGCATATAGTAAATAGTTTAGTAATAGTAAACTGTAATTGGGTCTCTTTGGGAGAGTGGCATTATGGCAGGAAGACTCATTGTTTATTTCTGCAATGTTTGGATTTTATAATCATATTTTTAAAACAAGGAAAAAAAATTTACGATTGTGTCTTAGTAATTCTGGTTCTAGCTTTGTTTTTGCTTCTGTTGAAACAGGTGTGAGTCATCCTGTTCTAAAGCAAGTTGCTGAACAGTTTCTCAACATGAGAGGTGGACTTGGTTTATCTGGTGCCAAGGCCAAGTACCGTGGAGGTAAGCATTTCATTCTATTAGGGTTAATTTATCAGAAGGGTGTTTCCCCACTAGAATAACATGTTGAGGTGGAATAGGCCTGAATGTTTACTGCTAAACAGTCTCAGTGTAGAATGGATGGCTTGATGTTGTATTTTAAGCATACATTTTGTGTATTTGGGGATAGGATGGCATGGGGAAAGCACAGAGCCACAGAAAAGGCTAGTGGGTTAATACTATGTTGTAGGAAATACTGAAGAATGAAACCAGTGGTGAACAAGCCATTTTCTTCGCTCTGTCCTTAACATGGCCCCAGGCGAAATCCGAGAACAGAATGGGGACAGTCTTGTCCATGCCGCTCTTGTAGCAGAAAGTGCTGCCGCGGGAAGTGCAGAGGCAAATGCATTTAGTGTTCTTCAGCATGTCCTCGGTGCTGGGCCACATATCAAGAGGGGCAGCAACACCACCAGCCATCTGCACCAGGCTGTTACCAAGGCAACTCACCAGCCATTCGATGTGAGTCTGAACGGTTGCTTTTGCTTTCAAAGGTTCAGTATTTAAAATGTAATTCTCATAATCTACTCTTAAAATGTAAGACAAATACACAGAAAATCTTTGTACAATTGAAGAGATAGCCAAGCTTGAGATTTTAGTATTTTTGAGGGTCTATCAAAAATGCACTGGCTTTTCTACTTTGTCTCTTACTTGCCATTAATAATATAGAAAGAGGAATTGAATGCTTAGAAGTAAAGGGAATTCACACATCTTTAGAATAAAGTTGTAGATATTAAATTCCCTTTAGAATAAAGTTGTAGATATTAAACTTTCCCTTAGATTCTAACTAGTCTTTTTGTCTAGATTTTTTTCTGTCCCCTACTGTTCTTGTGGCTACTTCCTGAATCTCAGTGTTCTTTGTTTTCCAACCAAGTGGCCAAGCCGAACACCAAGAAATCGTTTACATACTCACTCCTTCAGCTTGAGATTAAATTTAAAAAGAAAAATGAGAGGCTGGGCATGGTGGCTCATGACTGTAATCACAGCACTCTGGGAGTCCGAGGTGGGCAGATCACTTGAGATCAGGAGTTTGAGGCCAGCCTGGCCAACATGGTGAAATCCCCATCTCTACTTAAAAAAAATACAAAAATTAGCCAGGCCTGGTGGCAGGCACCTGTAATCCCAGCTACTCAGGAGGCTGAGGTAGGAGAATTGCTTAAACCTGGTAGGCGGAGGTTGCAGTGAGTCGAGATCACATCACTGTACACCAGCCTGGGGGATGACAGATCAAGACTCTGTCTCGATCTATAGATAGATTGGTAGAAACAGAAGGCACCTTTTTATGACAAAGAAGTACTAATGCTTTCAAAATAATGATATTGGAACAAGGATAATGTAAAATGTCAGTGAACAAAGTTTTTGTTTTTCTGAGATGGAGTTTTGCTCTTGTTGCCTAGACTAGAGTGCCTGACGTGATCTCGGCTTACTGCAACCTCCGCCTACCAGGTTCAAGCGGTTCTCCTGCCTCAGCCTCCCAAGTAACTGAGATTACAGGCGTGTGCCATCATGCCTGGCTAATTTTGTATTTTTAGTAGAGATGGGGTTTCATCATGTTGGTCAGGCTGGTCTTGAACTCCCAGCCTCAGGTGATCTGCCCACCTTGGCCTCCCAAAGTGTTGGGATTACAGGTTTGAGCCACTGAGCTCAGCCGCAAGGTATTATTTAATTAGTAAGCATTGTTTGCCCAATGTAATATCCTACATGACCTCCAGTAGTACGCCTGTAAAAGGTGACAGATGGACTAAGTTGTCAGATTGAGCATTGTTTATGATCATAGTTGTTACAGCACATGGCAAATGTTGATTTACGCTTCAGTAAGTGTTTGGCCATTTGACACTTAACAGTGGAAATTAAAATCTTTTTGTTCTTATTCCTTTATTTAATACTTGAAGTGGTAGTTTTTGAACTTTTTTTTTCATTCAGCAGAGTGGCCTTTGTTCCCATATGATTTTCCACCTGCAATGCACAGCATGAAAGTTGCAGCTTTTAAAGAAATTTTAAAAGACTTGACTGTGAAGCCCTTTGAATCTTCTGTACAGAGCCTTGGGGTTCCCTGGAGCACAGTTCAAAAGCCATTAGCTTAAGTTAGTCCTAAATTAAAATTTTGCTGCTGCTTTTTACATTCCCTCCAGATTTTGTTTCTCTTTGTTCATCGTCAGCTCTGTTTTCTTCACGCTTCTTTTCAACACTGAATGTTAGTGATGGCTTTGTGTGGCTGGAGTTTAATCCTAATCCAATGAAGTAATTTAATAGAAATTCCTACTTGAGAACTTGGTCAGAAATTAAGAGTATAAATAGGGTGGTCTCAGAATTATAATGAAAGATCTTGAAGTCCATTCTTATGCTTTACATGGACTGACCCAATGTTTCTCAAAATTTAAGGTACGTAATAATCACCTGAACACTTATTAAAAGTCTGGGCTCCCAGGGATCTGAGTCAGTAGGTCCATTTCAGGAATCTGAAAGTTTGTATTTTTAATAAGAACTTAGGTAGTTTTTGTTTAAATGGTTCACATAAACACTGTAAATCAGGTTCACCCTAGGGAGCTAAAAGCTCTGCTCAGACTCGATAGCAATTTCCCTGTTATTCAGAGGCTAAACCCTTGCTACCTGGATAATAACCACTAAGCAGAATTTTTTTTTTTTTTTTTGCAACCTCCAGTTCCAGTCTTTTTGACTGGCTTATATAAGAGAAGTGAAAGTAAATTGGTGAAAAAGTCCCCACCGACAGCAGAGAGAAGAAACCGGTCTGCCTTATGCAAAAGCCCATCTATATTATAATAATGTTTGCAGATTAATGTTTGCATTAACCTTTAATCATCCAAAGAAGATTAAAAAATACCCAGCATAAAGGAAAGCGAGCAGTCATTTAGAAAGATTTAAATGAAAAAACAAAGCTGTGACAGTTCTGAAAGAGGTAACGTATATACAGAATACTTCAGTTCTGTACAGAACCTGTTAAGTAAAATATTAATCTATTTTGGTTATACTGTGAAGGTCCAAGTTTTTTCTAGGCAACCTTAGAGAAATTGTGCTGTTTTACCTGGTGACTATTATATAGTAAAGTCTCATTATATTTCAGGTTTCTGCATTTAATGCCAGTTACTCAGATTCTGGACTCTTTGGGATTTATACTATCTCCCAGGCCACAGCTGCTGGAGATGTAAGTTGCAAACTCACCAAACTTGTTTCATAAACAAGTGTTTCTCCCCCCACCATGAACATGTTTTTAGTTAAAATATGGAATGTTTGAATGCAATGCAATGACTTATCGGAACTCTGTATATTATGATATCATTGAAGCATTATCTGCTGTAGGGAAATTTACACATGTATACTAATGCCTCTAGGAAAGAGGAGAGAGTTGCCTCCTTCATATTTTGGTTCTGGTTGGATAAGTTGCATTGCCTCGGCTCTGAGACATATAAATTGAGAACCCAGGAGAGGGAAAGGCTACGATGTTTATTTGCAAGTCTTCAGTATAGAGATTGTGTTGAAAGCAGTGGTGTGTATGAATGATTGTAGGAAAAGAAAACTAAAGCTCAGTTTCTGGGAAACAATACCAACTAAGGAGCAAGTGGCGAAGGAAAATGGCCCAGGTAAACAGAAAGAAAAAGAGAAACTGACACGTTTGAAGGCTAGGAAAGAGAGAATGTTTAACACCATTTTGACCCGTAATGAAATAACATTACTTACCACTGAGAAGTCTGGTAGTCGTAGCAAACTAGGACATCATGGGTGATCTTAACAGTTTTGACTAGAGTAGTGGAAATTAGCTAAAATGTGTAGTGATTAAGGAATGACAAGTAAGAAATGAGAGGTTGGTGTGGGGCTAGTGGAGCTTACATATTCAAGCAGCAAGCTGTTTTAGGAGAGTTTACACTGAGAAATTAAGTCGAAGGAGACATTCATACTAAACAAAAAAGATTGTAGCAGATACTGGAGATAGAAAATTATAAATGATCAAGTCTGAGAAAGGAATATGTGAGATCCATTACACAAGTGGACCTTTTAGCCTTACACACAGGCTAATGTTGGGAGATATTGGGAAGATGGGGAAGTACCTCAGTGAGGCAGGAGGCTAAGTCATGTTTCGACAGAGAAGGGAAGAAAGTTTAAAGAAATACTGAAGTTTGAGGCAAACGAATAGTGAGGTACACGAAAAATGGGCGTTTGCTGCAGTGTATGTACATCCTTGACGTCAGCAACCACAAATTCATAGTACAGTCAGTCAGCACTGTCATGTAATTTTTCTTCAATAGCATTCACAAGCTTAATGGAGAAATGGAGGAGGTAGGTACTACGGTTAATCCCAGGTTGGAATCCTGCAAAGTAGGCAGGTCAGAAGTATGAGGAGATAGCAGGGGAGTTGGGAGCATTGGTAAGAGTGATGAAAAGGGTGATTCAGGGATCTAGGCTAAATAGAGAAGTTAAGCCAGAGGAGGCTTAATCAGTTGAAAGACTAGACAAGTCAAGGACTTAGAGATCCTAATAAAATGGAAGAATAAAGATAGTGAGATTAAAGACTGAGGTTGGGATCTTGGAATTGAGCAGAGTTAGACGAGTCTAGGCTATGGTCAAGTCTGAGGTGTGGCTATGGAAATGGGTAGCTAAATGAAGGGGAAAAGGAGGTCCTAGAATTTAGGCGATCAGGGGGAAAACTAAGTAGCAGATTCAGAGTGGTGCCAGCATTGGAATGGAGAAAATCATGACCAGATTTATTTATTCAGCAAATATTTACCAAGTACCCACATCACTGGAGCTTCATTCTTTCTTTCTTTTTTTAAATACCATACAAAGATTCAGATTCCTTCTTGACTCTGGCTTAGCAAGTATGGACAAACCTTACAAATTGGCTGTGTATGAATTACTACTCTCTTATTAGTGAATAGTAAGAGATAGCATTATTAATGGCATGACACTGCGAGAGTCTGGGGAAATTTTAAAGGTGCTTATTCTTTATGGGTGATTAGAAATCCATGTGTTTGCTGGGTGTGGTGGCTCACACCAATAATCTCAACATTTTGGGAGGTTGAGGTGGGAGGATCACTGGAGCCCACACATCTCTACAAAAAAATTTTTAAAATTAGCGAGGCCTGGTAGCGTGCATCTGCAGTCCCAGCTTCTTGGGAGGCTGGGGCAGGAGGCTTGTGTACAGACAGCTGCTTTATGGAACATACGAAGAATAACGAACCCATAGTGATGACAGCATTCCACGTGGACACTGTGCTGTTTGTCTGGAACTAACCTTGTCTGTGTTTTTGGCTCAGTAAAGGAGCATGTCAGTGCTGCAGGAGACTCTGGTACTGACCACAGATGACCAACTTTTACTTACCTGTCCTAGGTTATCAAGGCTGCCTATAATCAAGTAAAAACAATTGCCCAAGGAAACCTTTCCAACACAGATGTCCAAACTGCCAAGTAAGTCTCAGTATTAACTGTGTTTCATGTTTTTGTTATTTGAAAGTTGTATTCTTTTCAGATTATAACAATATAATATATATGCTCCTAAGGACTGAGAAGTACAGAAAAGCATAAAAAGGGAAATATACCCATATCCTACCACCTAAAGATATAATTGTTAACATTTTGGCCAGGCACAGTGGCTCACACCTATAATCCGAGCACTTTTGGAGGCCAGGGCAGGTGGTTCATTTGAGACCAGGACTTTGAGACCAGCCTGGGCAACATAGCCAGACCTCATCTCCGCAAAAATTAGAGAATAGTTGTTAACATTTTTATTGGTTTATTGATCATGCATTTTTAAACATAATTGTTAATACTGTATATACAGATGCTACTTGATTTGCACGGGTTACATCCTGAGAAATCTGAAAATGCATTTAAAACCCTGATAAGCCAGTCATAAAGCCAAACAATCATAAGTCAAACCATCCTAAGTTAATTTAGGGACCATCTGTATACTTTTTTATCCTATTTAAATAGCATACTTTTTATAGAAGTTTGAAAATTACAAATAGACAAAAATGATCTCTGATTCCCTACCAATGATTCTATGTTTCCATTGATTCAAATTACTGAATATTTAAACAATATTCACAGGTGTGTAAAAATACACTTGTGCATTTTCTGCAGTTATAAAGATATCTTTGGGCTTAAAATATTTTTGTATTTCATATTACTTTCTTGGTATAGATTCCCAATTGAGTTAAGAATTATACGCATAACGAAAGGCTCCATGTTAGGGTGAGTGTATGTGTATATGTTTAAATAATATATTTGACCAGGCACAGTTGCTCATACCTATAATCCCAGGACTTTGGGAGGCTGGGGCAGGAGGATCACTTGAGGCCAGGAGTTCAACCAGCCTGGATAATGTGGCAAGACCCTGTCTTTATAAAAAAATATTTAAAACTAGCCAGATGTGGTGGTGTGTGCCTATAGCCCCAGCTACTCAGGAGGCTGAGGAGGGAGGATTGCTTGAGCCCAGGAGTTTGAGGCTACAGTGAACTAAGATCATGCCACTGCACTCCAGCCTGGGCAACAGAGCAAGACCCTGTCTCTTTAAAATAAAAAAAGTATATATTTCTAAGTCACAAATCTAAAGAGATTGTACCAGTTTATAAACACACCACCAGTATATAAGAGTACCTATTCTACAATAGTTTCTTTCTTCATTACTGATTTATACCCCAAAAAGATCTGATTTTGTTTTGTTTGATAAGAAAGACAACTAAAATACATGTCTGCTATTTGGCAGTTTATAAATCCCCACTGTCTAGATTGCTAACAACACCCCTAATTTATTAGTAGTTCAGGGGTTTTCTCTAAAAGAGACAGACTTGGGACAAAGTTAGAGATCAATCTACATTTTTATACAGTAGTTTAAGACATTTAAGTTTGACTCCATTTACTTACGACAATTCAAAATGTGAATCTTGCAACTCCAGTGGTGGTTATGATCATTTAGTATTGCCCACAGAGGAAGCATGACAGGGTGAATTACAACCAAGGGTGGAACAAGCTTTTAGTCATTTCTGTTCCCGTTAGTATTGTTAGTTTTGTTATGCTGAGCACACTACAAAATTGCATCTCTTGTATAAGCACAACACAATTTCTTAAATATTGTATACGTGGAACCAAGAATCGGTAGGATGCAGGGCTGCTTGATTGTACCAGAAACAAAACATTATGAGACTACATTGAAACACTGGATTTACTTAAGAAAAACCTCAATTTTTCTAATTTATTTGAGAAAATATATTTTCTTAATAAGTGTAACACAGTTTTTATAAGGTATGGTAATATGTAGAAAGTAGAATTTTGATTATTAATGTCAAGATGTTTTCTGCCATTTTGATGGAGTTGATACTTGTTCTTGTAGGTTCTTAGTCTTCCTATAGTGAAAGAGAGAAAGTGAGGTGTCATTGCTGAAGAAACACACTCATAACCTCTTGGTAGTTGATGGCAGGTAAAATAATGTTTCAGCTAAGCTGACAACATGGTAAAATTGCAGCATTAAATTATAATCATACTTAAACGGAAGTCTTACTTCCATTAAAGGATGATCGTTTTTTTGAGGCTTAAATAACTCGACTATCTTTTCAAACACCATGTCTATAAGGAATCAGTTTCTGGGAGGATTATGAATTGGATTTTTATTTATTTCAAGTGGAGCTTTTGTGCCCATATTTAAGCTGCTGTTGCTTACAAGACCTGTATTATCCCTCCCCACCTGCCTTTTCCATCATGGTCTGTGCTCACTGAGACAAATCTCAGCAAGAGGCAGGAGTTCCTTCACTAATCAAAACCTCACATTAAAATAGTTTTACCTAGATCTAAGTTCTAGTCCAAAATCAAAACGCAGTCTGTGGAGTTTTCAGTATAGTTTTGTACTGACACCTTTTCCAAACCGTAATATAGACAGTACAGTGCTTGGCGAACTGAAGAAATAGAATGGAGACTGTTAGCACTGTTAAGTTGTTAGTTTGCCTCTCTACCAAAAACACATTGAAGAGTTTCGGGGCACATACCTTAAAATTGCCCTGTTTCTAAGAGGAACTGGCTTGACTCTACTTCACCCTTGGTGGAAACAAACGGCCTGAAAGAGGCAGTAGCAGCTGAAGTGGATATCAAAAATAAACAGAAGAAACTATTCAGACACTGCCGAAACCTGCCAAAACTCAAAAGGTAATACAAGTGAAATGATAGTATAAGAAGAAAATAATCATGAGAATCTTCAAACTGTCAAAAGGCATCGAAAGTTATCCTCTGTCCAAGAAGAGAACCCAGTTCATACAAGAAAAAGGCAAAGGAAAAGGTCAAGACTGTGCCCTTTTTAACACTGTGGCCCTAGCCATGGGCCAGTTAGAGTTGTCTGTGGTGACACCAACTCCAGGCCTGACACCCTGCTTTGACAGGGTCTTCAAGACCCCTTTTCTACACACTCTAACAGCCAGAAGGTAGGTTTACAATACATACTGTCCCCAACTTGCCACGGATCAGCTACAATTTTTCAACTTTATTACGGTGCAAAACCATCACAATTTCAGCTTCCAGTCATGTGTCACATAGTGATGGGGATACGTTCCGAGAAATGTGGTGTTAGGTGGTTTCATCACTGTGTAAATTTGATAGTGTACTTACACAAATCTAGATGATATGGCCTACTACACACATAGGCCATATGGTATAGTCTGTTGCTCCTAGGCTACAGACCTGTATAGCATGTACTATAATACTGAATACTGTTGGCAGTTGTAACACAATGGTTAAGTATTTGTGCATCTAAACATAGGAAAGGCACAGTAAACATACAGCACAAAAGTTAAAAATGGTATACCAGTATAGTATATTTCCCATGAATGGAGCTAGCAGGACCGGAAGCTCCTGCTTTCAAGTGAGTCACTGCATGAGTGGTGAGAAATGGGAAGGCCTAGAACATTACTGTACAGTACTATAGATGCTAAACACTGTAAACTTAGGCCACACTCAATTTGTATTTTTAAAATTGCACTATAACATTATGTTGTTATTAATAAGAATTTTTCAGCTCCCTAATAATCTTAATGGACCACCATCATATATGTGGTCCATCATTGACCAAAAATGTCATTATGTAGTGTATGACTATACCTTGAATTTTGATCTTTTCCTAGGCTAGTGATATGTAGTCATAAAGTAATCAACACTTTCTTATAAAATGGGCTTATGTTAGATGATTTTTGCCCAACCACAGGCTATTGTAAATACTCTCAGCACACATGAGATAGGTTGGGCCAAGCTATGGTGTTTGATACGTTAGGTGTATTAAATGTATTTTTTACTGCCATCTCAGTGGATGGCAGCCCTCCCAGCGACAGCAGAGAGATCCTTACTGTGCCAGTGAGCAGGAGAAAGAGCATGCTGTGACTTGCCAGTGACGTGCAGAGGATCCAGATTGCACCACCAGATCCAGAGGCCTTGGGAAACATTAGGGAGCTTTCCAGCTGTCTCACCCAAATCTGTAGGAGCAAATGGACCCTCAAATAGAGGCCAAAGTGGGCCATCAATTGGGCACTTCGGCAACCCTGAAGAGACTTCTTCCCTTCAGACTTTCTGTTTTAATGTGATGTTCCAGAGCAGGGAGTGGTGTTCTTGGGGAATTCAGGAAGAGGAAGGCATGTCATTACTGCATCTATTAAATAAAGCTTTGATATTCACAGCCCCCCACCACCCAGAGAAAAAAAGAATTGCCTTGCTGTAAAACTGACTTCTGCCTTTTATTGGACAGGAACAAGCTGAAAGCTGGATACCTAATGTCAGTGGAGTCTTCTGAGGGTCTCCTGGAAGAAGTCGGGTCCCAGGCCCTAATTGCTGGTTCTTACGTGCCACCATCCACAGTCCTTCAGCAGATTGATTCAGTGGCTAACGCTGATATCATAAATGTAAGCAAATGAAAACTTACCATTTAACAACAGATAACTTAACCTTAATGATTCAATTTCAGGAGGATGCCTGAGCGTCCATGGGCTGAGTATGATATTCTCATGTTTGGTGCCTGTCTACTTCATGTGGAGGCGGGAGGGCACATGCCCATATGATCCACAGCGAGCTTCCTTGTCAGCTTGGGTGTATGTATCTTCCTCCTTCAAATAAACTACCATTAGGTTAAACCATATTCAACTCAAGAAGAGTCAAATATTGGCAATTTCATATGATCCAACCTAAATAGTGAAGTTTGCTATTTTTCCTCTTCAGTCCTACCAGTATTTTACCATCTAGCACCTTAAGATTTTCTTTACTCTTCTCAGCCTAGACATTCTCCTGTTCTTACTAATTTTTTTTTCCACATATAATACTGTTCCCTACAAGACTGAGCTGTTTCAGGTCAAGGACTATGTCTTGTACTTCTCCTTCTTTGTTCCCTGCTGTGCCTAACAAGCACATGATCCACAGAATCAGTCCAAAGTGGGCTTTTCCCGTTTTCTTTCTTTTTTTTTTTAAGTCTCTGTCACCAAACTGGAGTGCAGTGGCGTGATCTCAGCTTACTGCAACCTCCCCCTCCCAGGTTCAAGCAATTCTCCTGCCTCGGCCTCCAGAGTAGCTGGGGCTACAGGCACACACACAACACCATGCCCAGCTAATTTTTTTTTTTTTTTTTTTTTTTGTATTTTTAGTAGACGGGGTTTCACCATGTTGGCCAGGGTGGTCTCAATCTCTTGACCTCGTGATCCACCCACCTCAGCCTCCCAAAATGCTGGGATTATAGGCATGAGCCACGTCACTCAGCCAAGACTCCGTCTCAAAAAAAAAAAAAGTCCTATTCATAAATTCTTGAAATGGCAAATAAGTTTACCTGCTTGATGATACATATTTTTGTTAACTTTGTCTTTTGTTTGTTTAAAGGCGGCAAAGAAGTTTGTTTCTGGCAAAAAGTCGATGGCAGCAAGTGGAAATTTGGGACATACACCTTTTGTTGATGAGTTGTAATACTGAAGCACACATTACAGGAGAGAGCTGAACGTTCTCAGCCCAGAGCAGCAAATACATGAAAGTCAGAAGTCTCTAATATAACATTTGTCTTTTTTCCAGTGAAGTAAAATAAGGCATAAATGCAGGTAATTATCGCCAGCTGACCTAAAGTCAATAAAACATTCTACTTAAGTGTTTATCTTATGTTTTTCTCAATGAATTAATCAACGAGTATTTATTATGTGCTGATATCTTTGTTTTAGATGCTTTAAAGGAGACAGGAATATAATGAGTATAGAAGCGTCAGAAACTATTAAAATTAAGGCTAAGTGGTGGCTACCAGGGTAAACAGTTCCAGATTACTTTTGGTGGCTTTTAAGATAAAAGCATGTTCAAAATTTGTCATTTTGGGTATCAACAGCTAAGTCGTGTGGTTTTTAGCCCTGTTTTGCCTTTTTTGCAATAAAATTATTTCTGAAAATCAAATTTCCTATCAAATCCTATATTCCCATTACTTCATTTTTTATGTCTGATTTATCTTTACTGACAGTTTTGTTTTTCTCTCATCTCCTGTCTCTTATCTGTTACTATCCGGTCTCTTTCAAGTAATTAACTCTCAACTCAACATTTAAAGTAAAAGAAGGGCTAAAAATTGGGGAAAAAATGCTAATGTGAATAACTAGCCAAAGAATATATCTCTTAATTATTTTCATTACAGTACTTGAAGTTTACAAAAACAGAAACTAAATATTTAAAGAAAAACGTGGTGTTTACATAAAGTGACATTCTCTACTGTGTTCAGACATTCTGATACTGGATTTCTATACTGCATTTTCTAAAAATAAATTATTCTCAGAAAGGAGGGTCTTATTCTGAAGAGATTTGTGAGGCCTGCAAGACCCCAGGGAAGTCTTTAGATAACCCTGTTGAAGAATATCTCTAATGGCTTTATAAACGCAGTCAGAAGAGAAGAGAATTGGTGAGTCTGCAGACAGTCCTTGATAAGTATAGCAAACTTTTGCATGGTGAGGCTCAAAACTTGGGTGTCTGCAAGACACATGCTCATATGAACACAGATTTGCTAACCAACGTCTCATTCCAGTTGGGCTTTACCCTTTTCAACTTGGGCACAGTCTTCCAGCCAAAATGCATCTGAGGTAGAGGAAGTAGAGGAGGAAGAGCTTTCATTGTCTTGCTTCACCATTATCCAGTATGGAGAAGGGGCCCTCACTTCTTTCTGGTAGTCTCTGTGAATCATCACATCACAATTAATGTCTTTTCCCACACTAATAATATGGTTCTTATTATTATATCTATGCCAGTCTCTGGAGATGGATATTGGTCTCCTTGCAGGGTAAAGTGGAGTTGACCATGGATATCTATAATATTGAAGTCTTTTATCTAAAACTCCATCTTCATTATCATCACTGCTTGTGAAAGATTCATCTTTTGACAGCTCAGTTTTCTTTGGTGTGCTGAAATGAAAAGAATAGTGAATAAAATAGATTTTTCATGTCTAAACATTTATGGTCCCCTAGCAAGATGCCCTATTACTCGCTTTACAGCTCATAAAAGAAATACAGTTTAGCTTTAGCACTACCTGTATCATTAAAATGTTTCTCTTTCTAAAAGAACATTAAACTATTTTTTAAAATCTTTCCATTTCTAATTGGAAATCACATTCTCCCTTAAATTATTTTACAATACCTTAAAAAGTTTTTCACAGACTTGTACTAGGCTACTGACCAGAATGTTAGGAGGTGTTAAAGAGTAGTTTAATTTCACTGCAGCTAAAGTGACAGGTTCAACCTGGCCGTCTCCTGAGAACTCTGTTCTTGTCACTCACATGGCAATAACACAATATTACTGATAACCAAAGGAGTCAGGATGTCAGGAAATAGTGGGCCTTAAGGATCTTCAACGTGCTAGTCATTTAGTAAGTCTTTGAGTCATTTTTTTTTTAAATGCAGAGGGTCTTGTTCTGTCACCCTTGCTGGTGTGTGGTGGCACAATCATAGCTTACTGCAACCTTGAACTCCTGGGCTCAAGTGACCCTTCAGCCTCAGCTTCCCAAGTAACAGACTACAGGTGTGTGTGCTATATACCACCACACCTGGCTATATACCACCACACCTGGGTTATTTTATTTTATTTTTTGGTAAAAACAGGATCTCCCTATGTTGCCCATGCCTGTCTCAAACTCCTGGCCTCAAGCAGTTTTCACCTTGGCCTCCAAAGTGCTAGGATTACAGGCATGAGCCACCATGCCCAGCCAGGTTTTTGTTTTGTTTGTTGGTTGGTTGGTTGGCTTGGGTTGGGTTGGTTTGGTTTGGTGTTGTAAAGTTGTCCAATTACTGGCTTTCTTAATTGTTAAAACTTGGTGGTGCTTGCCTGCTAGCACCTCCAGGTCTCTGAACTTGCCTAATGCCTACAGTACCTGTGCTTGCTCTAACTTTCCAGAGTGAATGCTGCCACCTGCTTTCCCTCATCCTGCTGCTGTTACCCAGCAGAACCAACACTAGATCTCTGTGATTATAAATCTGTGGTACATTCTGCCCTGCTAAAGGAAGTAGGGTTCTTCCTCACCAACCTGTTAAGACTTACTGGTATTATCAGAATAACCTTGGCAGTCTGCCTGTTATATTTGCTTCCAAGAATTTGAATGGCTTTTCCTAAAGTTTATCTCTTCTAGTACTAAACAGTTGATATTGAGTAACTTTTACTGAGAGCCACTAGTCTTAAATAATGATTTTGTTTAATTTGCCTTCAGACACACCCAGGTCTTCCTGAACAGCACTTGAGTTTTTCTTTTTTAATCCAAGTATTAATAACCTTTTTTTTCTGACTGCAGGGGGAGTCCTTGGCAACTCAAGGACAGGTAAATTGTCATTAGATAATAAAGCCACAAGCCTGCAGAGGTCAGAATTGGCTGGAAACAAACTTTCTATACCACTTGGCCTACCCAGAGTGTTATATGGAGAATTTTCTCCAGGGTGTACCCAGTGCTGTTTTCTCCAGGAAAAGATTATACCAACTTTGTGAAAGCAGCTTTTTCCTTCCCTGTCATTCCTGCCCCTTCCACATAAGTTACTAAAATGCCTTAGCTATGAGTGCTTTGCTTAATTAAGAAAGGGATTCAGAAGGTGCTTGGTATTGTTGTTTGTGGATTTTCGCCTCATACTTAGTTGTGCTGTTTTATCTTTTCGTTCCTTTTGAATGGTCAATCTGCCATCCTTAGAATTTAATATTCTGGATTTCAGAACTCCTCCAGGTAGTGAAAATGCTTAGAACATAATTGTTATGTAATCATATGAGCCCAGGTTTTTAGAGTCATAGCCTCCAGTATAGGCGTTGTTGAGTAGGATTGATTGTGAGTTGTGATCATGCTACTACACTCCAGCCTGGGCAACAGAGGGATACCCTGTCTTAAAAATAAGACTTTTAAAATTAGAAATTAAAAACAAATGAGCCATTGACCACATGAAAGTCCTAGAGCAATTTTAGCAAAACAAGACAGACTCAGTCCCTGCCTTCATGGAGTTCACGGTCTCCCAGGGAACAACTGAGTGAACAACTGATTACACGATTATTTCATTAAAATTTGGATAAAAATGTGAAGGAGCGTGCTGTGAGAGCCTGTGTCAGGTAGACCTGTTTCTAGGAAGACTCCTTGGAGAAAGTACACTGGAGCCTTCAAGGGTGCTACTGAAGAGCAGATCTACAAGCATCTTGTGGAGAAGAGTAAGAACAAAGGCCCTGAGGCAATGAGCAGCAAAAGGCAGAGCTGGAAGCTAAAAGGGGGCTAGAGAAGGATGGGGAAAGCAGTATGAGATGACACTGGAGTGGTATGTAGAGGCCAGCTGAACCCTATAGAGCATTATAGGCCAATGTGAAGATTTTGGCATTTATCCAAGGAACAAAAGGCTTTTTGCAGGAATGTGCCAGGATCAGAGTTACATTATAAAAAATTGCTCTGTGTAGAAAATAAATAGGGGACAAGAGTAGATGCAGGGAGCTGGGCACAGTGGCGCGAGCCCATAATCCCAGCTGCTTGGAAGACTGAGGCAGGAGGATTCTTTGAGCCTGGGAGTACAAGACCAGCCTGGACAAAATTGTAAGACCCCATCTCAAAAAAAAAAAAAATTAATTTGGCTGGGTGCAGTGGCTCACATGTGTAATCCCAGCACTTTTGGGAGGGCTAGGTGGGAGGATCCCTTGAAGCCAGGAGTTCGGGACCAACCTGGGCAACATAGACCCTGTTTCCACTAAAACTCAAAAAAGTTTGGCCAGATATGGTGGCACACACTTATGATCCCAGCTACTCGGGAGGCTGATGGGAAAATTGAGTGAGCCGGGAAGGTTAAGGCTACAGTGAGTTATGAGTCCCACCACTGCACTCCAGGTTGGATGACAGAGTGAGACCCTGTCAAAAAAAGGAAAAATTACTTTTAAAAAGTAAATGAAGAGAGACCAAATGGTGGCTTTGGTGGAATGATCATAGTGGCTAGAGAGAGATTTGGATGAATGTGAGAAGACAGATATCTTAATGTTTGGTGGGAGCAGGAGGAGGGAGATGGAGATATCAACTACAGCCCCTAAATTTCTGGCTTGATTAGAGGAACACTACCCCAGTAAGATGGAGCCATCGTGGGCTGGCTTTTGATTTTGAGCATAATGAGTTTGAGGAGTTTATGGCACATCCAATGGAGATATCAAGTGGGTATTTAAAAACATAAATTTTGCCGGGCGCAGTAGCCCATGCCTGTAATCCAGGCACTTTGGGAGGCTGATGCAGGCAGATTATCTGAGGTCAGGAATTCAAAACCAGCCTGACCGACATGGTAAAACTTCGTCTCTACTAAAAATACAAAAATTAGCTGGGTGTGGTGGCGTGCACCTGTAATCTCAGCTACCCTGGAGGCTGAGGCAGGAGAATCACTTGAACCTGGGAGGTAGAGGTTGCAGTGAGTCAAGATCACACCACTGCACTTCAGCCTGGCGATGAGCCAAATCCCGTGTCCCTCTCCCCGCCGCCCCCCACCAAAAAAAAAAATACAGTTTTGGTGATAATACAATTTGAAAGTAATTAGCATGTGAATAGTCATAGAAACCAGGGGCATCAATGAAATTGCCTAGGAGAAAGGACACCAAGAGGAAATGGCCAGAGGTAACAGGAAAATCAGGGGAGTGTGGTGTCACAGAAGCCTGGGAAGTGCTATTTCAAGAAGAGTGTGGATGGAAATTATTAAGTGTCTAATGCTGCTCAGAAGCCAAGCAAGATGAAGACGGAAGAGTCTTCTGGGATCAGAAGTGTGAAGGCTATGGGTGGCTATGAAAAAAGGACTCAGCCAAGGGATGAAAGCAAAGCCTAGATAAGTGGGTTGAGGAGTGTCTGGGAAGTGGCGTCTCTCGAGGAAAGCGAGGTGTCTAATACAGCTTTCAGCAAGTTGGGAGGGGATGCAAGAGACTCCAGTGGCTGGAGAGGGCAGGGAGAGGAGAGGGGACTGAAGATAGAATTTGTTAGGAGAAATTTTAAAAGGCTTAGATGTTACTGGGAAGGACCCAGAGAAAAAGTTGAATATGCAGAAGAAAATCAGATTCACAAGATGCGTTTTAAGGACTGACTTGCAGGTAGGCATGGGGACAGAGTTCCCAACAGATGACTTTTTTTTTAACTCCAAGTTGACTTTATCATGCTTTGTCATATTAGAGCCTACAGGTTGTCCTTTCCAAAAACCAGAAACTCAGGAAATAGCTCTGACAGTGTCACCAGTCCTGTCATGATTCTTATCATTTGATAATTGTCACATTAAACCATCTATGCCTCACAGGCCCTGGGATTCTTTGTATTATAACAAAGAGTTCCTAAAATGAACCATTTACCTTGTTACTAGGAATTTGGCCTCAGGGATTAAATCATATATTTCTTGCCATTCTTCAGGAATGTCAATAAAATCTCGGTAAACCTTGATTTGTAGCACTGTTCCAATGGTGATATGTTGCAAAAGCTGTAAAAATTCTCGAAGAGTATATCCTAACACATTGGCATGGCCAACACTAATCAGAACATCACCTGAAGAGGGAAAAAATGATATATCAGCATAACTAAGGGGCCATGTTGATTTCTTTATTGTGAGATATTTCATTTTATATTCATATTGTTCAGACTGTTGCTTCTTTTTAAACCAAAACCAGGCTTCAGCCTTTATTTAATAAAGATGTTCATCTTCATGATATGAATGTCCTTTGCATAATGAAGAATGTATGCAAGATGTTTCTTAATAGCAGTGTAATAGTAGGCAGTACATGATGTTTTTGAGACGTTTCTGAAGTTCTTAATGTGACAGAGGTCAAAAAACATTTATAATAGGAATCAGCCTTTAGGATTCTAAAAATAGAGTGGTTTCAAATAAAATGAATGGCTATTAGTAGGAAAGAAAAAACCACTTACAGTAAGTGATGAATAAATGACCTACTTTCTATTATACCTGCCTGGCAATTGCCAGTACCCTCCACAGTTAATGCACCATGTTAAACATAAAGCCTTTCATTTTAATTTTCTACCCTTGTGCAGTATTAGTTGAGCAAATAATTCTGTATAAAACATTGGGTAATTAGGCATGCTTTAACTGTAAGATGTGTATGCAGTGAGTATGTTGGTTTAAAGGGATTTGACAGCTGTTTCCCCACCTCAGTGCAATGCAGGGCAAGAAAAGAGGCAAGATGGTCAATCATGCCGTCTCCGAGTCCCCAGCAGGTGGTAAGAGGACTACATCTTGAGCACTAAGTCCCCAAACCCCCAAATTGGAGGAAGCTAAACAGACCAATTGTTCACTTGATCTGACCTCCCCCATATCCCCACCTCCAGCAGCTAGGTCACGGACCTGTGAGTGAGATCCAGTCACTGGACACTCCCACCTGGGTCACTGAACCTGGAGCAGGAGATGCAGAAGAGTGACAGAAGCTTCCAGTTGCCAAAACAGCTCTTGATTCTCTCACCATTTTCCAAGCCTGCTTCTCCAGCCTTTTGGGCGATTCTGTCAGACTCACAATCCCAAATTCAGTGCATTAACAGAACTGCTTTGTTTTTTGCAATGAGGAACCCTGACTGCTACAAGAGCATTCAGCAAGACTTGAGAAAGGAATACAAAGGATTTGCTTTTTAAGGACCGGCTCACGTTGGGCATAATCTTAAGTCTTCAGATCTTAGTAGCACTGACCTGCTGGGAACCCTCAGTTACCCTCATTCTAAGACAGCTGAAGCCTAACCTCAGAGAAGAAAAGGGTCAAGAAGTGCCTTCTCTGATGCATTCACGGGGCTTCTATCTGGAATTACACTGAACCCAAAAGAAGCCTCCAAGGAATGCCAAGGACAAATGTCCATAGCTCTAGATCCTATCAAAGTTCCTAGAATTCAAAAAAATTAATACTTAGAAGGGTGGAGAAAAACCTTCTACTTTGGTATTAAGCAGTAGCTGGTAATACAATCAACCATGTATCTGACGCTCACTTCAGAATGAAACAAGGCTACCTGCAGCTTGAGCAATATGAAACAGCTGCTGATCGTACTGAGGTTAATTATAATGGCAAAAAAAAAAAAAAAAATCCCTCCCCGGATGAGCTTACTTGCCTAATGTTAAAAGCAGTGTTTATAGCTGAAAGCTATGGTGTGGCATTCTGCTTAATTATGTTGTAAAAGGGTGACTTTTATCAAGAGGGCAGAAGATAAACAGCTTAATTTCCTGACCGTTCTGGCTGTAAACCAAACATGTCAGCATGTGAATGTGATTACTCCAGCAATAGATATTAACATTGCCCTTCATACAGAAACACCAATTTGGTATTTATGAATGCCAACCTCATTACATATTTTTTTCCTGTTTTAATGGGCTATAGGAGTGACATTATATAAACTTTATCTTGATTACCTATATTAAATCAACTTTGCAGCAGCCAAGCCACTACTGAAAAATAGATTTTATTTATTTTTTCATCTCTCCAAACTAGGCTGGAAGCTCCATAAGTTCCTCATGGCTAGGGACCACATCTGTTTGGTTGACCACTACACCCCCAGTGCCCTGCTGGTTGTCTGCATATACCAGGCCGTCAGGAAATGCTTAGGGAGTAGCCAGTCCATGATTTGTATTTGCTGTTGAAGCTACATTTTTTTTTTTTTTTTTTTTTTTTTTTGAGGCAGGGTCTCACTTTGTCACCCAGGCTGGAGGGCAGGGATGCAAATACAGCTCAAACAACCCTCCCGCCTCAGCCCCTGGAAGAGCTGGGACTACAAGCTCAGGCGCCCACCATGTTCAGCTAGTTTTTATATTTTTTATTGAAATGGGGTTTTGTCAGGTTTCCCCCACTGGTCTTGAACTCCTGAGCTCAATTTGCCCGCCTCAGCTTCCCAAAGTGCTGAGATGCCAGGTGTGTGCTACCGTGCCCAGCCTACGTTAATTAAATTTTATTATTATTATTTGAGATGGAGTCTTGCTCTGCCACCCAGGCTGGAGTGCAGTGACATGATCTTGGCTCACTGCAACCTCCACCTCCCGTGTTCAAGCAACTCTCTGCCTCAGCCTCCTGAGTAGCTGGGATTACAGGCACCCGCCACCACGCCCAGCTAATTTTTTTTATACTTTTTCGTAGAGATGGGGTTTCACCATGTTGCCCAGTTGGTCTCCAACTCCTGGACTCAAGTGATCCACTTGCCTCAGCCTCCCAAAGTGCTGGGATTACAGGCGTGAGCCACCGTGCCCAGCCAATTCCTTAAGATTTTAAATATCGGAGTCTGTTAAGGCCATACTGGCCGAAAGGAACTTAAGCCAGAATAAACTAACAGTCAACTAAATTAGGAAATCAACGTGAAGGAGAGAAATTTCAGCAAATAGATGAGAGATAATGGGGCTGGGAGGAAATGGGGTCAGAGAAACATCATGTTTCTACAATTATCATCTCCCAAGATCTCATCATCGTCTAAAACCACTGAATGACAGACTTTGAAGCCTAGACAGATGCTGAGGAGAACTGGCAGGTTTGTCACAAAGGTTTGGAGCTCTGGACTTCCTCTGTATTAAAATCTCATTTCTAGTTGTTAGGCAATTGGCTAGAAAGGAATGGGTTTTCTAGACAGACATGAGTTCAAATCCCGGCTCTGAACACAGACTTAGTTGTATAACTAAAATGAACAAGTTGCTGGGCACGGTGGCTCACGCCTGTAATCCCAGCACTTTGGGAGGCCGAGGCGGGTGGATCACGAGGTCAAGAGATCAAGACCATCCTGGTCAACATGGTGAAACCCCGTCTCTACTAAAAATATAAAAAATTAGCTGGGCATGGTGGTGCGTGCCTGTAGTCCGAGCTACTCAGGAGGCTGAGGGAGGAGAATTGCCTGAACCCAGGAGGCGGAGGTTGCGGTGAGCTGAGATCGTGCCATTGCACTCCAGCCTGGGTAACGAGCGAAACTGCGTCTCAAAAAAATAAAAATAAAAATAAAAATAAAATGAACAAGTTATTTCATCTAATTCTCTGTATTTCATTATCTACATTTCAGTAGTGTTGCAAACATTAAATTAGATAATAGATGTGGGGCCAGGTGAGGTGACTCATGCCTGTAATCCCAGCACTTTGGGAGGCTGAGGCAGGCGGATCACTTGAGCCCAGGGGTTTGAGGCTGCAGTGAGCTACGATTGTGCCACTGCACTCCTGCCCTCCAGTCTGTGTGACAGAGTGAGACCCTGACTCTTATAAAGTTAAAATTAGAATTAAAATTGGAGTTAAAAAAGATAATAGATGGGGAAATATCTCCCACAATGCCTGGGACAAATGCTCACTTACTATTTATTAAGCAAAGACACAACAAATGAGCCACTACCATGGGAGTGATGGTTAATATTGTCAACTTGATTGGATTGAAGGATGCAAAGTATTGTTTCTGGGTGTGTCTGTGAGGGTGTTGCTAGAAAAGGTTAACATTTGAGTCAATGGACCTGGAAAGGCAGACCCAACCTTCAGTTTGGGTGGGCACCATCCAATCAGCTGCCAGCAAGGCCAGAAAAGCAGGTGGAAAAAGGTGGAATGAGCAGACTTGCTGAGTCTTCCAGCCTTCATCTTTCTCCTGTGCTGGATGCATCCTGCTCTCAAACATCCAAAGTTCTTTGGCTTTTGGACTCTTGGACTTACACCAGTGGTTTGCCAGGGGCTCTCGGGCCTTCAGCCGCAGACTGAACGCTACCCTGCTGACTTCTCTACTTTGGAGGCTTTGGGACTTGGACTATTGGTTTCCCTGCTCTTCAGCTTGCAGACGGAGGGGCAGAATGATATGGTGTGGTTCTGTGTCCCCAGCCAAATGTCATGGCCAATGAAATCCCAACATTTTGAGGGAGGGACCTGTAATCCCCACATGTGGTGGGAGGGAGGTGACTGGATCGTGGGGGTGGCTTCCCCCAGGCCATTCTCATGATAGTGAGTGAGTTCTCATTAGAGCTGACAGTTTTATGAGTGTTTGACAGCTCCTCCTTCACACACACACTCTCTCCTGCCGCCTTGTGGATAAGATGTCTGTCTCCCCTTCCAGCATGATTGTAAGTTTCCTGAGGCCTCCCAAGCCATACAGAACTGTGAGTCAATTAAACCTCCTTCATTTGTAAATTATCCAGTCTAGGGTAGTATCTTTATAGCAGTGTGAGAATACACAACTTCAGTAGGTAAGTCCTGGATTTAAAAGATGAAATTCAACACTGCTTCTAACCTCAAAGAGCTCACTAACAATAGCCCTGCCATGAGATTCTGTTGCCCGCCTAAAAGTGTACTCCTGTCCCACTGTAGCACCCTGGAGTATGCACTCAGATCATCACCCAGCATCTGTCACCTGACCATGGAGAAGCTGAGAAGCAGCAGAGAAGTCCATGGGACCTGTCCTGGAGTTCTTTTGATCTGGTAAGTCCAAAACTCTCCACCTGCCATTTGTTCTCCACCATCAAGTAGTGATGTGTGGGGAAAATGCTTTGGAAATTACAGTAGGGTAAACTGTTTGATGAAATCATTATGTATCTGCTTTCTTCTTTAATCCATTGCTTGGAACCCTTAGCTGCAAAGTAGAATCACCTGAGGAGCTTTTAAAACATAAACTGCCCTGTCCCAGTACAAGAACGATCAAATCAAAACCTCTAGGGAGATAGGGCCCAGGCATCTTAGTTTTAAAAGTTCCCCAGGGGATTCTAATAGGTAACCAGAGTTGCAAACCAGTAGCTTAATCCACTGGGACCCCTATTGCCAATATTTCTACAGCACTTCAGTTTTAAATGCACTTTCACAAAAATTAGTTCATCATGCTGGGCTCAATGGCTCACGTCTGTAATCCCAGCACTTTTGGAGGCCACATGGGAGGATTGCTTGAGACCAGGAGTTTGAAACCAGCCGGGACAACATAATGAGACACCACCCACCCACCACCTCCACTGCCCACATCTACTAAAAAAAATTAGCTGGGCATGGTGGTGCACACCTGATTCCCAGCTACTCAGGAGGCTGAAGCAGGAAGATCACCGAGCCAAGGAGTTTAAGGCCACAGTGAGCCATCATCAAGACACTGAACTCCAGCATGGGTGACAGAGTGATACCCCATCTATCAAACAAACACACATGATTTCATCAAATCTTAGCAGTGTCTAACAAGCACAGGATTATCCCAATTCAAAGATGAGGTAACTGAGGCCTGAAAGGTTAAGTGGCTTTGCCCAGAGTCACAGAACTAGTAAGTGTCAGACCCTAGGCCTGAATCAGGACAGCTAACACGAAACGTTTTTTCCGTCTCACCACTGTGCCGGCCTGTTCTGCCTCCCCAACTTGTGAGCACAGCATTAGGCCCAGGCCAGGCACTGGGAAAACAGAACTGCATGGAAAATTCATTCACCCAAAGACATGAGGAGAAGGGTAGAATTGGTAAAGCCCTTGGGCACTGGAGTCTGACAGAGAGGGTTCAACTCCCAGCTCCTGGGAGTGGCCATGGGCAAGTTACTAAATACCTGATTCCTTGTCTGCAAGGTAGTTTCATATAGAATCTAGCTCAGGGGTTGTGAGAGTGAAATGAGATCATGCAGCTAAGGGTAGCAATGCTTCATACCGCCTGTGAAAGAAAATACCTTTATGCACCGAGAGCCGGAGCTCCGGAGTAACATGGTCCCTATGTTTGAATCCTCACTTAGGAGAAACAGGTGACCTGGACAAGGAACTCAATCTCACTGAGCCTCATTAAGTAAATTTAATGTTATTATTTTCTTAGAAATAGGGTCTCACTCTGTTACCCAGGTTGGTGTGCAGTGGCACAATCGTAGCTCACTGCAGCCTCAGCCTCCCACGCTCAAGTGATCCTCCCACCTCAGCCTCCCGAGTAGCTAGGATTACAGGCACGCACCACCATGCTGGGCTACTTCTGTTTTGTTGTTGAAATGGTGATATGGTTTGGATTTGTGTCCCCGCCCAAATCTCATGTTGAACTATGGTCCCCAGTGTTGGAGGAGGAGTCTGGGGGGAGGTGATTGGATCAACAGGGGCAGATTTTCTCCTTGCTGTTCTCATGACAGTGAGTTCTCATGAGATCTGGTTGTTTAAATGTGTGTAGCACCTCCCTCTGCTCTCTCTTCCTCCTGCTCCAACCATGTAAGATGTGCCTCCTTCCTCTTCACCCTCTGCCACGATTGTAAGTTTCCTGAGGCCTCCCCCGCCATGCTTCCTGTACAGCCTGCAGAACCATGAGCTAAGTAAACCTCTTTTCTTACAAATTACCCTGTTTCAGGCCAGGCGCAGTGGCTCACGCCTATAATCCCAGCACTTTGGGAGGCCGAGGCGGGTGGATCACGAGGTCAAGAGATCGAGACCATCCTGGTCAACAAGGTGAAACACCTTCTCTACTAAAAATACAAAAATTAGCTGGGCATGGTGGTGCACGCCTGTAGTCCCAGCTACTTGGGAAGCTAAGGCAGGAGAATTGCTTGAACCCAGGAGGCGGAGGTTGCAGTGAGCCAAGATCATGCCATTGCACTCCAGTCTGGGTAATAACCGTGAAACTCCGTCTCAAAAAAAAAAAAAAAACAAATTGCCCGGTTTCAGGTATTTCTTTATAGCAGTGTAAGAACGGACTAATATAAACAGCATCTCACTGTGTTTCTCAGGCTGGTCTTGAACTCCTGGCCTCAACAGATCCTCCCACCTTGGCTTCCCAAAGTGCTGGAATTACAGGTGTGAGTCACTGTACCTAGCCAGAATTAAATGAATTGATATGCCCAACAGTGATAGTTATGTAAGTGATAGCCATTGACTGGCCCATAGAAAGTTCTCAACCAATGTTGTCATATCATCTTTTTTTTTCTTTTTTTGAGACAGAGCCTCACTCTGTTACCCAGGCTGGAATGAAGTGGCATAATCTCAGCTCACTGCAACCTCTACCTCTCTGGTTCAAGTCATTCTCCTGCCTCCAGCTTCCTGAGTAGCTCGGACTACAGGAGCCCACCACCATGCCCAGCTAATTTTTATTTATTTATTTATTTAGAGATGGAGTCTCACTCTGTTGCCCAGGCTGCAGTGCAGTGCTGCAATCTTGGCTCACTGCAACCTCTGCCTTCCAGGTTCAAGCAATCCTCCTGCCTCAGCCTCTCAAGTAGCTGGGATTACAGGCATGTGCCACCACACCCAGCTAATTTTTATATTTTTAGTGGAGATGAAGTTTTACTATGTTGGCCAGGTTGGTCTGGAACTCCTGACCTCAAGTGATCCACCCGCCTTGGCCTCCCAAAGTGCTGAAATTACAGGTGTGAGCCACCGCGCCCGGCCTGTTGTCATAGCCTTACAGTTACACTGAAACCCAGTGACCCGAGTCTCCCTGCAGGCAAATGGGCAGAATGGGTGGTTGGGAGGCATGGGGAAAGGGCATTACCTGGCTGGAGTTTCCCATCATTGGCTGCAGCCCCCTTCCGGATGAGGTGGGTGATCTGGAGGTAGGGTCCATGCTGGATGATGATGAGGCCTAATCCTAGGCGGCCCACAGTGAGTTTGGTCTGCTGCGTTTTGCTCAAGTCATGTACGGATGTTTTGACCTTGATGCTGACTCCTCCTTCTAACCAAAAAAATGGGAACTTATTTCAGTCCTTGACCAAGAGAGAAGCAGAGCCATACCCACTGGGGTTCTGAAGCCAGACCCCTGGGCAGTTATTTAATCCCTATTCCTCAGATTCGTTGTTGGTCAAATGAGGATAAAAAGCGTTCACCTTGGAGAGCTGTTCTGAGAATTAAATGGGAGAATTAAAGGGCTTTTGTAGAGTCGGGCATATTGTGACTGCTTAATCAATATTAGTTAGTATTATCTATTCACTTAACAAACATTTATTGATATAGATGCTATACTAGGCCCTAGGTTTACCATGTTGAGCAAAAGATGTGTTGGGATTTTTTGTTTTGTTTTGTTTTGTTTTGTTTCAAAAGACAGGGTCTCATTCTGTTGCCCAGGCTGGAGTGCAGTGGCATGATCACATCTCACTGCAGCCTCGATCTCCTGGGCTCAAGGGATCCTCCCACCTCAGCCTCCTGAGTAGCTGGGACTACTGGCATGTGCTACTATACACGGCTAATTTTTATTGTTTTTGTAGAGGCAGGGGTCTCACTATATTGGCCATGTTGGTCTAGAACTCCTAGCCTCAAGCAATCCTCCCATCTCAGCCTCCCAAAATGCTGGCATTACAGGTGTGAGCCACCATGCCTGGCCCACATGTGTTTCTTGTCCTCATGGATTTTACAGCCGAATGGAAGGGACAGATATAGATCATACATGTAAATACACATTGAATAACATACCATAACTCATGCTATGAAAGAAAAGGATAGAGGGCTCTAAGAGTGAGTAACAGAGGGCCAAAGTCTCATCTGGGCACAGCGGGTCAGGCTTCCAGCAGGGTTAAATTTGAGTGAAGGCCAAAAGGACCAATAGGAAATATTTAGGCAAAGAAGGAAGGAGCAGGAGCACATTGTGTTAAGGTCTGAGACAGGAAGGAACAGGCCCTGTCAGAGGAGGGGGAGGCAGGAGGAGCAAGGGCCAAGCAGACAGAGGCTGCTTCTCAGACCTCCTTAGTGAAAAAGCTCAGAAGTGAGTTAAGCTGGACATGATTAGGTGAAATGGAATGAAAATGAAAGGGTTGTGGCACCTGTCATGACAGCAGCAGCGGAAATCAGCACAAGATAGATCCAAAAAGCGTGTGGGAGGAAAATCCAAAGGCCTTGGAGACAACAGGTAGTAGAAGGGGTTGAAATATGTTTTCTACAGAACCAAACCTCACAGGAAAAGTTTCAGGGACTAAAGGGACATTCAAAACAACAAGTTATTTTCCCAAGAGGAAGCTGCTAGGAAACTCCTTTTTGGTACACAGGAAGCTCCTGGGGAGATCTGTTTCCAGCATTTCACACACAGCTCCCTTCCATAAGGACAAGTGACACAAGGCTCACCAAGTCCATGTGGCTGTGATGTTTTCTGGGCCACTGCTGAGGGAAAGGCTCCACCAGCTCCCTACCTCTGGCTGTGGGGAGTTGGAGAGGTTCGTGGCCCTTTCCTCTAAAGCAGAGATTCTTGCCCAACCTCATCTTCCTCCAAACCACAGATGCTCTCTGGGAAAATAAAACAGCATAATATAAACAAGACACCATCTTCAGAGACCTTTCAGGGTTCGGGGAGCAATCAGGGGCTGGATATGCCCTGTCTGAGCCTCTGGTTCCTGAGCAAATGGAGAAGTCACATCTTGAGCAGGGTTCAGTGGTTCTAATCTCAGCTTGCAAATTCAATGTGCTTATAAGATCAGCTACCAGGAGCCCACTTTTAAAAATCAGCAGGGTTAAGTGAAAGAAGCCAGACTCAAGGCCGAGCGCGGTGGCTCATGCCTATAATCCCTGCACTTTGGGAGGCTGAGGCGGGTGGATCACCTGAGGTCAAGAGATTGAGACCATCCTGGTCAACAAGGTGAAACCCCATCTCTACTAAAAATACAAAAATTAGCCGGGCACAGTGGTGCATGCCTGTAATCCCAGCTACAAGCCTGGGTGACAGAGCAAGACTCCGTCTCAAAAGAAAAATAAACTTGGACAAAGTGAAGAAGATGGATGTGAATCTTCTTCTTGGAGCAGGTAAATACACACAATCTCCTGTCTCACATGCTAGCAACATACCAGACCATTCTGCTTCATTTTGGGCAGAAAACTTCTCACACTATGGCAGCCATCCATGAGAGCTTCACAGGTTATCACCTATATAAATTCACTACTTCAAAGCGCTTCCAAAAGCCGGTGAAAAAACTAGTTGAGAAAGAAGAGAAGTAGCTCACCCAGCAGGAAAGCACAGATGTGGCAGAGCAGGAGCTGAGTCTGTTAATTTCACTGGAGAATGAAAACCGGCAGAAGGAAAAAGCTGAAGACGGGAAAAGTATTGTACCTGCCTTAGACAAAGGCTCTTCACACAGTACGTGCTCAGAATGAACTATCAGATATGAAACCTGAGGAAGGTGCTCCCTTGGGCCCAGTGGCAGGGACCCTGGAACCTGAAGGTGCTGACAAAGATGACCCTCCTGCTGTTGGGTGAGATCTTCAATGCCTCCTCCCTGGAAGAGAGTGAGCCCAGAAAAGAGTGGGCCGCTGTGTTTGGGGACAGCAAGCTGGAGGAGGCAGCACTACAACCCTGGGAGAGCCAAATGCCAAGCTCCAGACTCAAATACAAAAAACTTACAGGTCTTGCTACAGGGCTGATCAGAAAGCAATGTCAACCTTCCCAAGGACAAGCAGTCTAAATGGCAGCAGCCCTGCAGTGAGAAAGCCTAATGCTGCCTAGGACCCGACTGCATGGTTCAACCTCTTCACCAACCTCGAGTCATTATCAAATCCTGATGCTGTTCAGAAAAAGCCATAAAGAACAAGAATTGCTCAATGCAGGAGTCTACAGCCTTCGGAAAGCCCACCTGGGTGCTAGCAGAAGTATAAAATGATTAGAACCTGGGCAACATAGTGAGACCTCATCTCTACTAGGCTGGGCATGGTGGCTCACACCTGTAATCCCAGCGCTTTGGGAGGCTGAGGGTAGGTGGATCACTTGAGGTCAGGAGTTTGGGACCAGCCTGGCCAGCATGGCGAAACACTGTTGCTACTGAAAATAACCAAAATCAGCCAGGTGTGGTGACTCATGCCAGTAATCTCAGCTACTCGGGAGGCTGAGGCACAAGAATGGCTTCAGTGCATAAGACGGGGGTTGCAGTAAGCTAAGATCAAACCACCACACTCCAGCCTGGGCCACAGAGCAAGACTCCGTCTCAAAAAAAAAAAAAAAAAAAAATTAAATTAGTTGTGTGCGGTGGTGCATGCCTGCAGTCCCAGCTATGGGAGGCTATGCAGGAGGATTGCTTGAGCCCAAGAGTTGGAGGCTGCAGTGAGCCAGGACATACCACTGTACTCCAACCAAAGTGAAAGAAAAAGACCCTGTCTCTAAAAATAAAATACAGTGACCAATATGTTGTTTTAAGATTTATGTGCCATTTTAATAAAAATGAAAGGGCCAAAGCCCCTATTTACATTGGTATAATTTTTAAAAGGCACTTTACTATATGATTTCATTTTTATGACATTCTCCATGGAAAAGGCAAAAAAAAGCCCTGTAAAAAACAGATGGGGGTGTGAGAAGCTGCAGTGGGGTGGGGTTGACTACAATTGGGCATCTCAAAGTAATTTTAGGAAGTGGTAGAGCTGTTCCCTATCTTGAGGGAGGGGATGGTTCCACGTGGGTATGGGCTTGTCAAAATTCATACCACTGTACTTTTAAAAGGGGGGAATCTTACTGTATGGAAATATACCTTGATAAAATAATGGTGGCCCGAGGCAGGAGGATCACTTGGGATCAGGAGTTTGAGACCAGCCTGGCTACCATAGCAAAACCCCATCTCTACTAAAATACAAAAATTAGCTCGGCGTGGTGGTAGGCACCTGTAATCCCAGCTACTTGAGAGGCTGAGGCAGAGGAATCCCTTGAGCCTGGGAGGCAGAGGTTGCAGTGAGCCGAGATGGTGCCGCTGCATTCCAGCCTGGGCGACAAAGCGAGACTCCTTCTCAAAAAATAAATAAATAAATAATAATAATAATAATAATAATAACGATGGCGACAGTTCATCTCCCAGGCCAAGAGTGTGCCGTTGCCATTTTACAGAGGAGGAAAAATGAGGAAGGCTTGGTCCCCAGGGCTTCGCCCCCTCCCTTCTCCCCAGTTACCTTTTTTGTTTTTACGGGAGGCCTTCTGCATGGCCCTGGGAGGGCGGGTGGCTCGGGAGGGCCTCCCGGAGCAGAGACTGGAGTCAGTCCCACTACCAACAGTTTCGAACCTCGCCCTTGGGCACCGCCCTCGGGATGGCCGCCAGGGGGCGCTGCGCCGCCGTTGTCCAGAAGTTGGGTGGCAGTGAGGCCTCCGCAAGGCTCCCCGTGGACCCTGAAAATGTGGCTTGAGTATTGTAGGCCAGTATACTTACTGTGTGGAAACTTCTGCAGAGACTAGAACCGTGCCTGATCCACAATGGGCTCTTCATTCCTTCTTTTCTTCCTCTTCTTTTACGAGACGGGGGCTGGGTCTCACTATGTTGCTCAGGCTGGTCTCGAACTCTGGGGCTCAGGCGATCTGCATGCCTCAACCTCCCAAAGTGCTGGGATTACAGACATGAGCCACCATATTTGGCTTCTTCATTCTTTTTTTTTTTTTCTTTCTTTCTCTTTGAGTCTTGCTTTGTTGTGCAGTGGTACAATCTTGGCTCACTGCAACTTTTACCTCCCGGGTTCAAGCAGTTCTCTGCCTCAGCTCTCCAAGTAGCTAGGATTACGGGCGCCATTTTATTTTATTTTATTTTATTTTTTATTTTTAGTAGAAGTGAGGTTTCACCGGCCGGGCGCGGTGGCTTAAGCTTGTAATCCCAGCACTTTGGGAGGCCGAGGCGGGTGGATCATGAGGTCAACAGATCGAGACCATCCTGGTCAACAAGGTGAAACCCCGTCTCTACTAAAAAAATACAAAAAATTAGCTGGGCATGGTGGCGCATGCCTGTAATCCCAGCTACTCAGGAGGCTGAGGCAGGAGAATTGCCTCAGCAGGTGGAGGTTTTGGTGAGCCGAGATCGCGCCATTGCACTCCAGCCTGGATAACAAGAGCAAAACTCCGTCTCAAAAAAATAATAATAAAAATAAAAATGAAATGAGGTTTCACCATCTTAGCCAGACTGGCCTTGATCTCCTGACCTCGTGATCCACCTTCCTTGGCCTCCCAAAGTGCTGGGATTGCCGACATGAACCACCATGCCTGCCCTCTTCATTCATTCTTGGTGAACCTAAGAAACAGGGAGGGGGAGAAAGCACAGAGGAGGGTGTCTCAAAGATGTGAGGTGGTCTGCAGAGGAAGATCACAGCCAGAAGATCCCAGGAGATCACAGAATACCTAGAAGATCAGAGAATCCCTGCTGTGCTCCAAATAATGGTATTTTTTAAAAAATGGTTACATCAGTAGCTCCAGTGCTTTGGAACTGCACTTTTTTTCATGGATAAGAAAAAAAGTTTTGAATAAGAAAAGGCCCCAGGTGGCCTAAAAAAAAGGAGTCACTATTAGGAGAGGTACTATTAATGCTTCCTTCTTTTTTCCAAGATGACTCTTCCTCCCACACACATTCACTCATACAACCAGTATTTATAGGGAGCTGCTCTGTTGCTTAACGATACTGGGGACACAACAGTAGGCAAAACAAAGACAGAAACACAGGCTCTAACCTCTTGAAACCTGTACTTAAAAAACAGATGAAGTGGACAGTTTTAGGAAAACATAAATTATCAAAAATGAATTCTAGGCCAGGTGTGGTGGCTCACACCTGTAATCCCAGGTACTCAGGAGACTGAGGCAGAAGGATCACTTGAGCCTAGGAATTTGAGATCAACCTGGGCAACAGAGCAAGACCCTGTCTCTGTAAAAAAAATTTAAAAATTAGCTGGGCGTGGTGGTGTGCATCTGTAGTCCTAGCTACTCAGGAGGCTGACGTGGGAGGATTATTTGAGCCCTGGATTTGAGGCTGCAGTGAGCTATGATCAAGCCAACCACCCTCCAGCCTGGGTGACAGAGCAAGATCTTGTCTTAAAAAATAAAAATGAGTAAGTAAATTAATACATTCTAGAAGAAAGAGAAAACCTAGGTAGGTCCTGGTGTTATCCTTGGTCTGATGAAACTGAGAGGCTAAGCACTTTGCCCCATTCCTTCAACAAAGAGTTACTAAGCACCTATTAGGTTTCAGGCACTGAGCAAAGATTTCCATGGTAAATCTGGTTACGTCCCAGCTTATTCTGTTGTTTCTGTGGCTCTACACAGACAATAAGCCAGGGCAGATTCTTTTTTTGTTGTTGTTGTTTTTGAGATGGGGTCTCATTCTGTATTCTGTCACCCAGGCTGGAGTACAGTGATGAAATCTTGGCTCACTGCAACCTCCACCTCCCAAGCTCAAGCGAGCCTTCCACCTCAGCCTCCTGACTAGCTGGGACCAGAAACCCGTGTCAACCACGCCTGGCTCATTTTTGTAATTTTAGTAGAGACGGGGTTTCACCATGTTGGCCAGGCTGGTCTCAAACTCCTGAGCTCAGGTGATCTACCTGCCTTGGCCTCCCAAAGTGTTGGGATTACAGGCATGAACGCCAGGGCAGATTTCTCATTAGATAAATCCTGTGTTGCAGAGACTGATATGTAGAGCTATCCTCCACCTCAAGTCTCCTGCAGGTGGCTTCTTGTGACAGGTCACCTTTCCTCTTCCAAGCAGTCTGGTAGGGGTCTATATAGATACCAACTTAATTCTATCATAAAATACATCCTTTTCCTTCATCTTCCTACCATCAGGGTAAGGGTGAGAGTTTGTGGGAATAGAGCCCATCAGCATATATGGTTCTGTGACAGGAGCACATTGGGGCCTGGCCCCCCCTTAGTCTTCCCTCCATCCCAGGCTGAAAAATGTCTTTAGAACAGATGCCAAGGTCACATTGATTGGTGGAACTGTAGGATACAAACTGTCATGGGTGCTGTGCTGTGCTGTCCTGCCAAGATCTTCCTTCAGGGCTGAAGGACTTACACCTCCCATCCTCACTATTGCTACTGGCTGAAAAGAGCCCCTTGCCCAAGATCTCACCTTCCCAAATCAATTAGCATCTGGTGACTGGTCAATGCAGGGCCATCCCAGGTTCAGAACTTACCCTGCGGTCCACTGAGGCCCTGTTGTAGCTGCACTGCAGCCTGACTTTTCCCTTTGCCCTGTCCTGCTTTTCTTTTTTTTGAGACAGTCTTGCTCTGTTGCCCAGGTAGGAGTGCAGAGGCATGATCTCGGCTCACAGCAACCTCCAACTCCTGGGTTCAAGCGATTCTCCTGCCTCAGCCTGCTGAGTAGCTGGGATTACAGGTGCCTACCACCATGCCCAGCTAATTTTTGTATTTTTAGTAGACAGGGGTTTCACTGTATTGACCAAGCTGGTCTTGAACTCCTGACCTTAGGTGATCTGCCCACCTCAGCCTCCAAAGTGCTGGTATTACAGGCGTGACCCACCATGCCTGGCCCCTGCTTCATTCCTTCTTCCTAAGAGTAGAGTTAGGATGGATCACCTAATACCCAGGTAATAATAAGGAGCCCATCCCTGGTACAGAAGGAGCATAGCTAGCCGCTGGCAGGGGAAACTCTAAGATGGCTAAGTTTTTTTACAAGCTGTAAATGGGATGGGGTATCAGGAGTGGGGAAGCAGATAAGAGTATTCCATCACCAGGAAGGAATCAGGTTGAGACTTTGCATAGGGGCAGGGGAATATTGGGCACCTATGTGATCTATTTAGGTGTCTCTTAGTACTCCTTTACCCTATTTGGACAGTAAGTGGACAAATACAGCAACCACTGCCTGAGAAGTACACAGCAACTAGGTGCTCAAATTCTTAGGGATGGAGGTCTAGGCCACCCCACCACATAAGCCGCCTACATCATCTGAGGTGCTGGCAGAGGGGGAGAGGAATCTAGGATGGATAGAAGAGGGGACTGAAGGGTATGTTAGTTATGCCTCTAGATGAGCTGTAGCGGCGGCAGGAGCTGCGGTTTGTCCCACTAATCTTCCTCTTTGTGTTTCCCACAGAAAAAGCTGCCCCGGGATCCTGAAGGGCTGCTGTCCAAACAAGCAACAAATGAGAGGCACAGCTCCATGGGGACACTTTTGCAAATGCTGCACTACACTGCCTCGGTCAGGACGGAAGGACTATTCCCCAGCTACTAGTAGGGTGGTGGGTTGACAATCTCAGCTGTCAGCTCTCTTGAGGAATTGTCTTTGTCCAAAGTGAGCTGCCCTCCAAGCTAACGCTCCATGGCAGGTCACTGCAGGGATGAAAAGGCTTGGCCCCTTTATTCCAACTCAGGCCAACTCAGAGCAGCTATCCCAGCTTCAGAGCTTCTCTTGGGGTCTGCCAAAGCCTCCTGTGATGGCAGCACACACTGACTTCTCCCTCTTCCCCCTCTGCTTCCTCTTCCCCCAGAGGACTTGATCTTCAAAGGTTCTCTAATAAACTTTCTGCACACTAATCAATAATCTCATTTCTGAGTCCGCTCAAAGGGAACCAATCCATAAGATCTGAACTGAGATTTGAACCTGGGCACAAGCTGCTAACACTGGATTTAGTTTTTTGTGTTATCTCTAACCCCCAAAACCCCAGGTACACATGTGTGGTGCATCTACCATGCTCTTGGCCCATATGGTAAACTTAACCCCTAGGGCGGTAGTGTGTTCTTTATTGTCGGGCTGAAGATACTCCTTAAAGAGAAGAGTGATCACAGTCCCTTCTACAGCTTTCCCCACAGTCCCAGCTGGATTCAGCCTCTTTTGGCCAAGGCCTACCATCCATCACAATAAAGCATGCCATGTTCACGGCCCTTTAACAGCTGCAGAATGGCTATTTATGACTTCAGGCTGCCAGCACAGCTCCCTCCTGGAAGCTTTCTATGTTCTTCTGGGTCCCCAAGGCTTTCTGCCATAAGGAGCCTCATGGCTCATTTCTGAAGTCCCAGCTGCTCCGCTTAGGGGTGGGTGAAAGGATGGGATGCTTCTGTCACTGAGTCCAGGAGTCTTGTTAGGCCAGCTGGGGGAAAAAGGCCCAGAGAGGTGACATGGCTTTCCCAAGGTCAAATCAGTAGCACGGCAGGAACTAGAACATAGTTCTGTATTCTCTCTGCTTCACTACATCACCTCTCCCAAACCCTTAGGGTTTGCCTGTACCAAAATCTAGACAGAGATAGAGGGGAGAAGGGAACAGATCTGTCTTACAGATCTCAGAGACTGGGGACTTGGAAACACCAGCCAGGCACAGTGTTGTGGGCCTTAAGTCCCAGCTGCTTGGGAGGCTGAGGTGGGAGACTTAAGGCCAGGAGTTCAAGTCCAGCCTGGGCAACATAGTGAGACCATATCTCTAACTAAAAGAGAGAGAGCGAGAGAGCGAGAGAGAGAGCGAGAGAGAGAGAGAGAGAGAGAGAGAGAGAGAGAGAGAGAGAGACAGAGAGACAGAGAGACACAGGGATAAAAACAAGGATTAGTGGGAAGTCTGTAAATAGTTTCCATTCTGGATGGTAGGAAGGAATGGAATAGGTGACTATTCTCTGTACTGATGTGCAGCCATTAATATAAATATGTTTTAGATTCTTTTAACTCAATACTGGTTGTTCTTGTGCTTTAATCTTAGACCCAGAACCAATTGTAGAGGGTAAAATGAAGATTTCTATTATTTATTTCATTTATTAGAGACAGGGGTCTCACTGTGTTGTCCAGGCTGGTCTTGAACTCCTGGACTCAAGTGATCCTTCCACCTCAGCTTCCCGATTAGCTGGATTAGCCACCATGCTTGGCTACATGTATTTACTTTAAACACAAGAACCCAATCATCATTCTATTCAGCTGGAGTTAGGATAGGTGCAAACTGTTCTAACATTCAGCTTTGGGATTCTTTTAAGCTGGCCAGTAGAGAACATCAGTGGATATTATCTGAGAATTTAGTCCTGTATAGTTACAGTTTTTTCTATCACTGGACAATAGAAAAGCCCAACAAGAAGCCAAGAATATGACTCAATTAAACTTCTCCAGTACTTATGTGGCAAGCAGTCCAAACCCACGCCATCTTGGCCCCTGCGACTTGTAATAAGTAATTAAGGTCTGTGATTTCCACCCTACCCAGACAATGTGTAAACAAATGCTAATCTTGACTTTTGTGAACCACTTAAGTAACAATCAGAATGTCAAGTCCCCCGGCCCTCGGAATGTCAAGCCCCTCACCCTCATCTCCGCCTAGGAGGTGATTTACAGAATCCACTAGCCCTCAGAACCTCTGAAGCCCCTCACCCTCACTTCTGAGGTGGTTTTACTGGTATAAAAGGTCTTGACACCCTCCTTTCAGGGCCACGGGTTGGAGAGACGTGAGTCCTCCGTGGCCACCAGCAATAAAGACCCTGCCATTTGGCATACTGCCAAGTCTTGGTGTTGACTTTCTATGCTCGGGCCAGTACAACACTTAGAAAAAGAAGAAAAGAAAAAAGAAACTGAAGACTATTGCAGTAACGTCATATGCATTATATCTGCATTCTTGGACTATCTCAATTATCTTGTGTCAATTTCTTTGGCAGAGGAAAAATAAATTATATAATAACAACAACAACAAATCCTTTTCCCCAAGAGACCAATGTTTGGACGGAAGTGGATATAGACCAGCAATCAAGCCCTCCCTTCCCCAAGCTATGTAATTACCCTAATAATCTGTGCACATTTCTGCAAGGCTGTTGGATTTGCTGGAATTTGAAACCTCCTGAGTTTTGTGGACATGTAAGCATTCCAAAAATAGAGACAGATGTCACTCTTCTAGGTCTTTCTAGAGATGACCTATGTGGCATTTAAGAAAATGAGTGTTTCACTCCATTTGCTGCATGGAGGACTATTAGGGAGAGCTGGATCAAACGTCAGGGTTAGTGGTGATTCCGCCCATGAGCTGTGGAAGAAAACAAAACCTCCCCACCGTCGCATAATTTGCTGACAGATTACACAAATGCCTTATTATTTTTTTTTTTTTCCTGTTTATTCATCCAACTTAAGACACTCCACACACAACTCAGTAAACGGGATCATAACACCTGGTTGCTCAGGTCAAAAACGTAAAAGTTATTCTTGAGTTCTATGTCAACTCCTTCTCCTTATCCCTCTATCTACAAAACATCCAAATCTGTCCATTCCTCTCCATCTTCACTACTCTCACCCTAGCCAAAGCCACACTTCTCTCTCGTGGACTACTTGGCTTCTTAACTGGGGTCCCTGTTGTCATCTTCGCCTCTCCCCCATGCAAGCTACACTACAGATCTTCACAGATTAAATAAGATCATGGGACTCTCCTGCAAACAACTTCATTACCTTCTCATTGCACTCAGAACAGAATCCAAGGCCCCCAGAGCCCTACACCTGGCCTCTGCCTACCTCTTGTCATGCTACTCTACCGCCACACAGGCCATTTTGCAATTCCTTGGACCCGCCGATCTCTTTCTGACCCCACCCCTAATGATTTTTGTGCTGGCTGTTCCCTCTGTCTGGTCTTGCGCCAGGTCTTCAAAGTGCAGGTCTTTATGATCTTGATGGTCTCAGCGGAAATGCATCCTTCCCTGTCGCAGGTATCGCCCCGACTCCCATCACATTGACCTCCACTGAATTCAGGGATCGGCACCTGAAATTATTTTTTTACAGATAGGTTCTTAATGTGTTTCTGTCTCTTCCCACCGGAACGTGAGCTCCCCGAGAGAGGGAGCGTTGCCTCTGTCCACCCCAGTACCTCTGCACCTACAGCGCCTGACGCAGAGGGGGTGTCGAGAGCTAAGTGGGGCAATCCTGGGAGCTGACAGCCGCGGAACGGGCAATGAGAATACAAGGTGACAGGGACCGCGCGGGGCCCGGAGTCACTCGGCGGGAGTCGGCACCACCCTCCCGCTGGAAGACAGGCGGCTCCCCGCTCCCATTCCGGTTTCGCTTTTGAAGGGCTCAGGAGGGCGAGTAGCCTGTGCCCAAGCAGTCATCAAGAACGACAACAATCTTATTGTTAGTGGGCAGAAAGGCAAGAGGTGGCGTGGCTTGCCGAAAGAGACCGGGACCCGGGCAGGGACCTGAGCCTGGCCGGTCGGGTCCGGGTCCAGAGCGTGGAGGCAGGCGGTGCGGGGAGGGGCCCGGGACGGCCGGGAGGGCACTGGCGGCGCGGCGGAGTGCCGAACCGGGAGGACAGAGCGCGGGCGCGGCGGCCAGGGAGCCGGGACCGGCCTCGCCAGCGCCGAGGCTTCGCTTCCGGGTGAGGGGCGGGCGGGCCGAGCAGTTCCGGGGCGGGCGGCGGTTCCGTCTGTGCGGGCCGCGCCGCGGCTGCTGGTCCCGGGCGCGCGGAGGGCGCGAGCGGCGCGCGGAGACTGAGGGGGCGCGAGGCAGCGGCGCGGGGACTCCGGGCCCCGGCGGCGGCCCATGGGGCGGGAGGCGTGAGGCCGCTGCCTGTCCGGGGCTCGGGGGGTGGGGGGAGCGGGGCGGGGAGATGGATAAACTGACCATCATCTCAGGATGTCTCTTTCTGGCCGCCGATATATTCGCCATCGCCAGCATCGCCAACCCGGACTGGATCAACACCGGGGAGTCCGCGGGTGAGCGGTGGGCGCGCGGGGCCGGGCGGGGGATTGGCTGAGGGCGACGCGAGGGAGGGGAGACCCGGGCTGAGGAGAAGACGGGGCGGAGGGTCCCGGCCAGGGACTGGCCTGAGGAGCCCGGGGGCGGAGGGGAGACCCGGGCCGCGGAGGAAGGGGACGGAGAAGAGGACAGGAAAAGTGGCGGACGGGAAAAGGGTCCCGGACCGGGGAGGAGGGGAGCAGCCCTCCGATGTGAGGGATCGTTGAGGAAGGAGCTTCGTTCTGGATTAAAAAAAAAAAAGTCAAGGTGGGAGACGGGAGGAAACTGCGGCGCCTGCTAGGGAATTAGAAACCAGGCGGCGAGGCTGGGGCTGGAAGTGAGGCAGCCTGCAGGGCAGTGCGGGAGCCACTGGAGAGCTGGTGGGCGAGGGGAGGCCGAGGGGTCAGCTCCGACCCCAGACCCTCCACCACTAGAGGAAGCTGCGGCCGGGGACCAGGTGCCCGGGCTGCGGGCGTTGACCCCACCAGGCAGGGTGAATGGTGGGTGCTGGGAGAGCTGGTGGGGCTGGTGGGAGTTGGAGGGGGCACCTGAATGGAGCCCCCCATCCCTCCCGCTCCCGCCCCCACCCATCCCCTGCCCGCTTGGCAGTGTTTGAGACGCTTGTGGCTTCGGATTTTCCCTTTGAAGTGTGTATGTGGTTATAATTTTGCTTTATTTTAGGCCCGGGAGCTATAATACTACTAATAATAAACCTCATTTTATGGAGCGTCTTTCATTCCAGCACATCACAAAAACGCTGGAGAGATCTTAATAGTAGTTACAAAATTAAATAACACATTAGAGTTGCAGGCAGCCCGGCAGCGGTAGCAGTGCTTGCTGTAAACGCCACGGAGCTGTGGGCGGGAGAGGCAAGGTGGTGCCCTCGGAAAGAGGCGGGCATCTTTCTGAAGGATACCCCAGGTAATGCGCTTCGCAGACTTTTCTCAGCTTGGGCCACTTCTTTTCCTGCTACCTCTCCTCCTTCCCTGAGTCCCCCGCCTCTCTTTCTCCCCCTCTCCCAGACCTGTGAGACCAAACCTTAATTAACGTAAACAGCTGTCAGGAGAGCTGCTCCGATTTAAGGAATGGTCTTGTTTTTTAACTGCTTGTTCAGGGCAGGTGAAGGAACTGTTGGGGGGTTGGGAATGTCAGGCTCCCTCCGTGGATAATTTCTTATAAAAATGCATCACTGTGCTGTGAAAACTTCTTAAGTATTACTTATGGTTCTGTATTTATCCTGCAGTATTTTTAGCTCTTAAAAAAAAGTGGTAGCTGGGACATTTGTTGCTTCCTCCTCCCTCCCTTCTCTCCCCCAATCTAGACCTAGTAACACAAAATCATGCTGTCAGATTCACTGGTTATTAAAATAACACTCTAAAAATTCTGCTACTTTTCTTGCCTATAGAGTTTTAGCAGAGCTCTTAATTGTAAAACATATGAAGAAAGGATCAGGATGGTTTCGAATTTGGTGGTATTATCGGCTTCGTTTATGAAAATATTGTTGCTGCCAGTCAACACGGTTACATGTGTGACATCTAGTTCGGGACCTGTTGATGTTATCCTACTTATATATGTATTGACTCCTTTTCTGAGACGTTTGGGCTTTACATACTTAGGGGAAAAGAGTTTTCAGTGCTCTAGCAGAAACGTCATTTTACAAAGAAGTTTTAGATAGAATCCCAATAGATAAAATAGACCAAATGTCCATGAGAAAGATATAGTTGAAAGAGAAGAATTGTTACATGTAAAAGAGAAGAAAGATAAGTGATAGTGTAACATTCCTTAAGATAGAAAAGGGCATAGCCAGGTGCGGTGGCTCACGCCTATAATCCCAGCTTTGGGAGGCCAAGATGGACAGGTCACCTGAGGACAGGAGTTTGAGACTAGCCTGGCCATTATGGTGAGACCCTAAAATACAAATATACGAAAAATACAAAAAATTAGCCAGGCCCGGGGGCGTACACCTGTCATCCCAGCTACTCAGGAGGCCAAGTCAAGAGAATCGCTTGAACCTGAGAGGCAGAGGTTGCAGTAAGCTGATACTGCACCACTGCCCTTCAGCCACTGCACTCCAGCCTGGGCCACAGAATGGCAGTATGTCTTTAAAAAATAAAAAGAAAAGGGCAAATTCCTCTTGTATTCGGAAGAAAGCAAGGATAGGATGAGTGTAACTCTTTAAATTTGGAGGCAAAATCGGCTATGAGTTGCCACGGAGATGGGAGGAATGGATGTCCAAGGTTTCAGGAAATGGAAACTGCTTGAAAAAAAATAATTGCAGAGAAAGCTTGTCAACAGTGATAAGTAGGATCGTCTAGCAGCATTGATGCCTCATGGAAGTTGATGGTCATGGAGATATAGTGTGATAACCTATCTGCTCTCTTGACCTTCTCTAGTAGTGCTCAGTTACTTTGATATTGAGGTAGGTGAGTTTTCCAACCGTTCTTGGAAATAAGGAAATACCAAGAATAATGTGAAAGCCAGTAGAAGGCTTCATTCAAGGTTGGGGTTTGCCAGATACGCAATGAAATGACAGCAGCCAAGGTATTTAGGATAGTGGCCAAAGTATTGTAATGATGGCTTGCGGAGTATCAGCTGGATAAAGAGTGAAAGTGGACAAAGACTAATGGATTGATCAGTCGAATAGCAGATGGTACATGGCCAGTGGAACAGTGGACTCAATAAACTTTAAGACCAGTCAGAGTGGAAGTGATTGATCCAGCAAAGTGGAATGGCAGGGGATCATAGGCACAAGGACCAGAGTGTAACAGTGAAAATGTGGAGCTGATGTGGGATGGGGGAAGTGATCTTTTTTCCTAAAAGTTTCCCCTGCCATCTCAGGATACCATTCCATTAAATATTATAGCTAGAAAGAGGAATAAGAGGTAGTAGGAACATAGGAAAATTTTTAAATTCTTATCTAGCATGTATTTCTTGCCTTACGTATATCAGGCAGTAAACCCCCAAAACATAAAATGAATGGGACAATATGTTCCTTTGTTCACTCTTGTGCTTGAGCTTGTATGCTGTACAGTCTCACCTGAGCAGGCAGATGTAGTCTTCAATTAAACAAAAGTGAACACCTTCCAAATCAATGAAACATTTACAAGAAGTTCAAGTGAGAGTTCAGGGGTGACAGGTCTAGCCTTATTTCAAGGGCTGCACAGAAGCAACGTAACCTGGCAACAAAAAGTGAATGTGTTGGTTCCCTTTAGTGTATTATATTCAGTCCATAAAGTTTTGATTGTGATGTTTTCATTGCTGTTTTTAAACAGGGTAAAATGCATTTCAGAAGTAGAACTTTCGGAGCTGAAAGAGTCTGCAGAATGTAGCTTGAAAACCACTGCAGTGAGCTCCTTAGGGAATGTTTCAGAATTCAAGACTAGACTTCATCATTTCATAGCTCTATGGCTTTAGGGCAGATTCTTTAACCTCCATCTCTGCTTTCTCCTTTGTAAAGTGGGAATAATAAAAGTACCCATCTTATTGGGATATTGTGATAATTAACTGAGTTAATCCATGTAAAACATTTAGAACAGTACCTGACACAGTAAATGCTCAACAAAAATTATATATTGTTATATTGCCGTTCTAGTTTATAAGAACAGGTGTCAGAATCCCAGTTTTGAAAGGAAAGCCCAGAGCTGTGAGAAATGACACGTTTTCTTCTATTAGATATTCTAGGAAATAAGGAAACATTAAGAATAATACAGCCAGGCTTAGAACAAGTTAAATGTACATCCCTCTTGGCTTTGGACTTTCTCTGCCGCTTCTGTGCTGTTCTTTCTCTTCCGGTCTCACCTCTCCACACTCTCATCTCTGTCCTTAGCTCCTACTTGAAGTACCATAGAAGGAAATTTTTTTTAAAAAGTAACTTCCTAAAATCCCTATTGATAAACTATGTTACTCTAAGATTATGGACCATACTTTGGACAGCATAGTTTTTCATGTTTTTATTGTCCTGGTCTAGATACAGAGAAAGTGCGTTCCTTTTATTTTCACCTGTGTATTTAACATTTCATCTACCTGTTCTAATGGCTTGTGGATTATGCACAAACTTTTGAAGATATGAAAAGATCGTATTATATGGATTGGGAAAGAATGTGAGGGAAGGCATGCTAATAAGGACTCTTTCTGTTAGTGTAACCAGAAATAGTAATTGGTAGATGAATACAGTGGCAAAATTATGTAATTCTGTATGCTAAGGTCAAATTTCTGCTGGTTGCTGGAACTCAACATCAACAGCAGTATGTTTGATTTTACATAATGCTTCATAGTTTTTCAAGCACTTTGACATCTGTTACTTGATCTGATTCCTTAGGATGTTTCTATTTGGCCAATGTAAAAGAGTCATTTTCACATTTTTCCCCACACAGCAGTGCTTTGCATGTGAGATTGGAGTTTCAGTGCTGCGAAGATTGCATTCAAGAAAATTCCTCATTGAAGTATTACCTATATGTTATTTATGCACACCTTTTACCTAAAGGAAATTAAAATTCTTCAGTGGCTGGAGTTTTCCCCAGATTACCAAAGAGGGAAAGGAGGAAACTTGGGTTTCAATCTTAAAGTGATAATCTTTGCTTTGTATAAGCTTAGAGACTTATACAAAGCTTAATTTATTTTTTAAGCTTATTAAATAACTTATTTATTAAATAACTTATTTAAGCTTCATTTCACTGTCACTCTCTTCTCACCCTTGAAGAGACTTTTTTTGGGGGCGGGGAATTTAGTGTTAGTTAATTTTAACAAGATAAACAGTTAAGAAAAGCTGTTTCTCTGATAAATGTAAATGGCCCGCAGATCCCTTTAGTGAGGGAGGCATTATCTCTTCACAGTGAGGATTCAGTGACCGTAATCCTAATCGTCCTAAATGGATTTACCCTGTGTTCTTTATGAAGATTTCCAGATGTTCCCCAAAAGTCTCTTTCAAATATCTGAAAGAACTTCTCCCTTATGTCTCGTCAAAATTTCTCTAAAGTGG